CCTGTATGCGTCGAGAGGCATAAAAGTGATGACTGAAGCTTGCACCGAAGGCGATCGATACTAATGAGATGATAGGCAAAGATTATTGTCTGTAAAATGATATAAGGTTCGCAGACACAAAAAGAATTTCAATATGAACTTGTATTGATTTTCTATACGGTAAAATTGTAAATAACATGAATTAAATTTCACGCCACCCATGTAAAATTTATCATTATCTCAGTTATTAAATGATGCACCATTTCATGGTATACACTAAAAGTTGACAAAGTCGTTTTATGTAGGTAAGTATGCGATGAAATAAAAGGAAATTTTGCACAGGTGTTTGTTATGTTTGATACTGAAAAGTAGCCTGCAACTCAAATAAAAGTGTGTTTTCCCCTGCCCCTACTGTAAGAAAGAGTTCTGCTATAATGCGTATGTTTTGATAACGCCGAATTGGCTCTAACGTGATTTATGAATAGAGGAACGACATTTATATAATCTAACGCTTGTTTGCTGCTGTAATGCGATTTTTGCCATTATTTTCTAATTGCAAGAATCGTATCATGGCAAAGAAGAACATTCTAGTTTCAGACGAAATTTCCGTGATGATCAGAAAAGAAAGGATATAACATTTGAAGAGTTTGTTATCAACTCCCAAAATCACCCTCTTCTCCCCTCATCAAGTTATATTCATGTTTTTTCAAGGTAAAGTGTTATATTTACTGTATGATTTCATTACTAGATATGAATGTAACATTTATTTAGACTGTGCTTTCCTTTGTGTTAGGCTAACTACTAATTTTTTTTCGATTTCGAGTAGTAATCTGCCCCTAACCCTATTTTCTCCATAAGCCCTGTTACTTGTATTTCAATTACGCGATTTTCTATACAGTTGGGTCTCACATTACGCGGTTAATGTAACCCGGAGGGTCCCGCGGAAAGTGAGGAACGCGTAAAGTGAACAAAATAACATATGGGATTAATTGAAATGGAGTCCAGGCTGATCCCCAAACTCCACTTTTTGACGACACATAACTATGTTGCAGTAAAAATTTTATCTTAACTTTATGATGGTATGAAAAAACAAGTAATATAGAAGAGGTTAGGTTAGGAAAGATAAAGGTTAACATAGGAAAAATGAAGGTTACCTTAGAGAAACTAAAAGTTAGGTGGAACACTTACGGTAGTAGAAGAGATGGGTCGGCATACGGGGATGGAGGCTGGTTCCGAGGCAGAGGGCAGATTACTGGCCCTCAGGTGAATCACCATTACTAGGTGAATCATCATCACTGTCACTTACAGTTGTCAGGGCTTCCCTGACAAATCCCTCAAAGTCAACTTCACTGTCACTATCACTGGCTTGGGCTGGCTGTGGTGGGTTGCGGGTGAAGAAATCTGTTATGCTTTGCTGACGGCTGGCGTTGATGTTGTCGTGATACACCTTGATGTACAGCTCCATAGCCTGCACCAGCCGGTTATGGAAGACTTCATAGCGGTCATCGTCATTGTCGCGGGAAAGGAAGGACTTCATCTTCTCTGCACACTCCATGGCACCCTTAATATCACTATGACTTAAATTGTGTTCTTCGGAGACTGCCGCACCTTCTTCCTCCTCTTCACTGACGTGTTCTTCTTCCAACATCTCGTCGGCAGTCGCTTCAGGATTTCTGATCACCTCCAGGATGTAGTCGTTGGTGGTCTCGGAGAAGCCTGGAACTGTAACAGTCTGCGCAGCTTCTCTGGCAAGGTCCACTGCTACTGCAACAGTCTGAACCTCACCAGTCACAGATTGACTCCTCCTCTCACCTGGTATTCCATGCAACACATGTCTCCATGCGTGACGAATTGTAGCAATAGACAGCTGATCCCATGACTCCACCAAGATGTCCACAGCTTTCTTGATGTTAAATACTCTCCAGAATTGTTTGAAGAGTATTTTTTGCTGTTCTAACCGTTGTTCCTCATCTTCGTCGCTCTTGCTATCGGTGGTGGTGTCACTCAGGTCACGCAACTCTTCCCTGGTGTTGGTGTAGTCGTTCAGGAGCTGGAATTTTGTTGTTGAGAATGCAGCTTTCACATTGCAAATCAACTCCTGGTCCATGGGCTGTAATATAGACGTAGTGTTGGGAGGAAGGAAGACCACTTTTACGTTGGGGTGACGATCTAACAGTAGGGGCGAGTGTCCTGGTGCGTTGTCCAGCAGCAACAAAATATTAAATGGGACATTCTGTTGCTCACAGAATTTCTTTACATCGGGAACAAAACAGTCATCAAACCAGGAGAGGGACAGTGTAGAGAACATCCATGCCTTACGTGCTGTCAGCCAGTGGACATTTAGCTTGGTCATGTCCATGCTCTTGTAGGCGTGCGGCTTGCGGGCTGTGTGGATCACCGATAACTTGAGCTTACAGGTACCGGAGGCATTGGTGGTAAACAGGACGGTGATGCGTTCCTTCTGCATTTTCCGGCCCCGAATCCTGCTGGCATTCTTCACAACGAAGGACTTGGAAGGTAGTTTTTTCCAGAAAAGACCAGATTCGTCCATGTTAAACACCTGGTCGTCACTGTACTGTCCTTCCTCCATAATCTCACGTAAAAACGGAGGAAATTCCCGAGCCGCAGCACGATCAGCACTCGCTTCTTCACCACCAATGTTTATATTGGTGATCTTGTTCCGGATCTTAAACCTCTGTAACCACCCAGAGGAAGCATTAAAGGGTTTGGGCTCTGAAGTTCCCATCTTTCGTGCCACTGCCATGTACAGTTCACGTGCGTAGTCCTTCACAGAGCGTGTGTCGACCGCCATGTTCCGTCGCGCCTGACGCACCAAGTACCTCACAAGTAATTTTTCTGTCTTGAGAAGCACCTGGTTGTGAAAATACTTGATCATAGAAGCACCTGTAGACTTTGTGATCTTCATGTGCTCCTTTATCTTGGCTGAATCCTTCTTTATAGTCCGGATCGTAGATTCGTTCACGCCATGCTGGCGCGCCAAATCAACCTGCCTTGTTCCTTTCTCCAACTCTTGGATGATGCTATACTTCACCTCGTAGCTTAAGGAACGTCGTGTCTTCTTTGGTTTAGTGCCGCTGGGTCCAGGTAAGGAAAGGTTTTTCTCTGGGGGTGGTGGTCCGGCGGAAGCCATTTTACGGAACAATGGATGCGCGTTAACACGGAGTGGCCTTGAGGGATGAAACTGTCGCGGCTAGGTCAAGCGTCGTCTTTCCTCCCTCCCTCCCTCCCCCGGGTGGACACGTCATAATACTTTAAGCCAATTACAGCTAGCAGCAGAGGGGGGTAGGGATGCATGGCCAATCACAGGTCTGATACGTCATATGACGTCAGTGATAACGCAACAAAGACACACACTGCACAACCTTACCGCGCCGCTTGCCCAAGCGGAGGGAGGAGGAGGGAGGAGGAGGGAGAGGCAGGCAGGCGGACGGGTGGGTGGCGCGTGGGGCAAATCTAAAAATAGCGTCGCGCCGGACACTCTCCGCGTAATGGCGTTCACGACCGCGGAATGTGAGCATGTTAGGTTCTGGCAAGGCACCGCGGTAACGGTGAAACGCGGAATGCGGGACCGCGTAATGTGAGGATTAACTGTAACACGATATTTTACAAGAACACAACTATCGCGTTATAGCAGAACTGACTGTACTGCTTTGCCCCAGTGGAAAGAATCGCTGAAGGGAAGTGTCGAGAGTCACTCAAATCACTGTCTGTTCCTAATGGCTCCTCAGCATCACAAGGAGCATCCTCATCAAAGAAAATAGTTTATTTCAGAGTCACTGATAGCATGACATGACGACATCCTTACAGAGTGGGACTGGCGAAGGTACTGGCATGTTCCCAAGAAACACGAAGTTTAGTCACGTGATTGCTGACGGGTCTGTATGCCAGACAACTCAAGATGTTTATTTATAGCTCTAGGGCCCATAGTTATTAGCGGGAATTTTAAAATTTTCAAGGACCTTGATATATGCCCTAAACCTGGGTGTCCCTTACCTTATGAGATGTTAATCTACGCCTATAACTACGTAGGGGTTAAGGATTTTCATAAGATTCATTGTAAGCTGATTGGTGTATGCTGCAATAATACTTATGACAAAAAGTTTCATACTAAATAGCAGTGTTCCTATACTTATAAAACTTTGCTTCTCCAATCCAGATGAAGTTAATGTCCATAAGACAACCATCTCCCTCATTTACCACACCATCATATTCCTGCATGATATCACATGCTTGCTCACACAGCCTCCCCATCCTTACTGCTTACTCCTCCCTCTAATCTTGACAGTGACACTGACTTTGGCTTAAGGGCTTAATGTAGTAATTAAAGTAGATATATCTGCGCCTGAGTTGTAGGTCACTAATTGTAATACACAGATGACAAGTGACCCACTTAGGTACAGTGTTTACCGATACAATAATATACCAGTAACCAGGAATGTGTGGTACAGTATTTTCATATTGAATATACTGTACTGTATAGTATACAGTATTATATGATGTAATTGATTACAATTACCCCATACAGTATTTGCTGTAAGTACTGTATTACCATACCATTTATTAAATCTGAATACAGTGCAGGCATACCCCGATAACTGATGCATATAGGGACCATGAAAAGTCATTGGTTAGTGAATCAATGGTTATTGAAGCAATTAATCCCATAAGCAGAGATGGGGTCAATTCATTTTTGTCTATTCAATTTATTCCTAAAAAAGAAATCGTCAATTCAATTCGATTCATTCACAAGCTTTTCAATTCAATTCAAATGCTTTTCAATTCAAAATCAATTTTAATCTACCATTAATCTAATGGAAAGAAATAAAAATTCGAGGTTTCAAATTAACTTCTTTATTTTTTATAAAAAATGCTCTACCACACAAACCAATCACATTCTTTACCAACCAAAAGTTCAAATGGTTTAATTCTTTGTTCTGTATTAGTAAACAAAATATGAATGAGTAAGTTACTGAGGATTGCATCTGATCATCATAAGTTGCTCAAATCTTATCTTTTAAATTGCACCTCTCTGGCCTGAAGAGCTTGCTAGCAATGGAGAATAGTTGTTCCACAGGAGCCGATGTAGCAGGAATGACCAGGTACTTTGCTGCAAGCCTGGTGAAGACAGGAAACTCAGGTTGCTTGGCCTTCCAGTAGCCATGTGGATCACCATCTTCCTGTAGACATGGCTGGTTGAGGTAGAGTGAGACCTCAGTTTCTGATGGAGTTGGTCTTGGTGTAGAAGACCGGTTGGCCAGGGCAAAGAACTTGTTCCTCTTCATCGGTGGTGGTTCAGCAGGGGAAGTGTCTGTTGTTGTAGGATCAACACTGTGTGCCATATTGTATTTCACAGTCAGAAGGTCACGAATGTCTTGCACTTCATTGTCATAGTCATGGCACCAGTCCAGCTTATAATGTGGGTCTAAGGTGGCAGCTAGCTGGAAAGCCTCCATAGACTCAAACTTATTCAGACGAGTCTCTGTTGAGGACTGAAGTACAGAAACAAACTTGCTTTTATACACTTCATGAAGACTAGCTAAAGCAGCCCCAAGACCACGAACACTGTTAACTACCAGACTAGATGTTACCATGTTTTGTCCCTGAATCTGATTAGTCACATACTCAAATGGCTCGAGTATATCACAGAGCTCCTTGATGGTGTTCAGCTCATACTGCTTCACCTTGTAGGGAGTGTCAAGTTTGTCCCACACTTCAGGTGAAACTCCAAGTACTGACCTCATCATCGTCAGCGTGTACATGTTGCCATCTGGAGCTTGAATTCATTTGAGAGCACTTCTGCAGCCACTGTTGATTTCCTGCAGAAGCTGACGAGCTTTGATACTTTTGCAAGAATTTGTTTGATCTGGCCATCTTGCTCCATGCCATCTTTCTTGAGATGCCATGCCATCACTTGATATATTTTTAACATATTTTTTGTGCTAGCTAACTGTATATTTTAGTTTTTATTTGAATACCTGTATATGTTAATTATTGCAAAATAATGAAGACTCATATTACAGTATAATACAGTACTGTATATTATTTTATCAATTCACATCAATTCATATCAATTCATTGATATCAATTCCAATTCACTTCAATTAATTTTAATTTTGTATTTTTTCAATTCCAATTTAATTTCAATTCACACATTTTTTTAATCAATTCCAAAAAGATTCATAATTGACCCCATGTCTGCCCATAAGAATAAAAAAAAATCAGTGTTAGGTACTGGTAACCTCCCAAAAACTCCCATCTACCCTTGATATATCTCTGTAATGCACACTGTCATGCAAGATAATAAAGCAGTCATATAAAGCAAGCATAATAAGCCTTAAATTAGGAATGTAAAGCATAAATTGAAACTGTTATTTACTGGAGTTGAGGATGGTAAAGACGGTCTACAGTGTCAATTTCAAGTCTCTACAAATCTATGCTGGTCCATCACCACTCTTATTGTGCCATATTATGCCTTATCACATCACATCAAGCTGCCCCTCACAAGAAGAACTATCCTTGGGGAGTTTAGGCATGATTGCTTAACTTACTAAGTTGGAAATAATTTAAAAATAAAGTCTCTTCCAATCTTTATGGGCCTATCGCCACACTTATTACACCTTATCACATCATATCAAGGTGCCCTTAAGAGGGGCAGCACAAGAGGAACTATCACTGGGGTGTTTAGGAATTATTGTGTAACACACGAAGTTGGAAATGACGAAAAAACATGAAGCCTGAGACATATGGTGAGTGCAAACAAGTGCAAAGAGGCAGGAATGAGTCGGAGGCAGCACACAGAGCCCTTATGTGGCAAGAACTTGCACCACTCCACAGCCCGCCAAATTCAAAGCAGCTCTGCTGCTCCTCTCCCGTCGGTTATGCAAATCAGCAGTTAATGGGACGTCAGGTTTTGGGGTATACCAGTACATTTGTATGCAACATGGATGGCTCTCACAATCCTTGAGAAATTAGAAGCTAAGATTTGCCCTTTTAAAATGTAGAGCTTACTGATATCTAATTTGTGTCACATCATGCTATACAAAAAATACATTTTTATAAGCCACGAATAATAGTTTTTTTCTTCACAGTGACATGGAGGTTGGAGAGGTGACCAGTGGGGACTTGGGTCATGGTACAGTTGTTGTTGGCAGCGATGGGGAGCTTCAGTATGATCTCAGTCAGCAGTCTGGCTCATTTTTAACAAATACTCATATTGTACCACATGGTAAGTGCACTATAATACATTATTAGCTGAAATGTTTATTGCTTTTTATTCTTTATATTGTGCTGAATTACGCTATGTGAAATTTTGTGTCGAGTACAGTACATATTTTAATTTTGTATAGAACTGTATTCTGTACAATAATACTGTATGTGCCATATACTGTACTTGAATATGTGCAAGAAACTTCTCTCTGAAGCTTTTTCTTATTGGACAAGAATCCTATTGTTACTATATTTGTTACTGTATTTTGACATGTGAAATGATATCAGTCTCGTCCTCGAAGTTTTCAAAGAGATTAATTTATAAACAAAGATTCAAGCATGTGTGCCCATATTTGAATTTCATTGAATATTTTTGTAGGTTCCATAAAGAAGATTGGTTTGAAATTTGAAGATCATGACGGATGTAATAGGGGACGTAAAGTTTATAAGGGAGGTAATGATCCAATAAGAACTGTGGTCACCTTTGCATTACATTTGACTTTGTTGGAATTCAAATTTAAATCCCATCTAGAAGGCATTTGAAGTTTAAATAAATATCAAGTACAATAACTAGAAGGACTTACATAAGAATTCAGTTGAAATATTGTATGAATGGGGGACTTCTGCATCAAAAGTTGCTTCAGGTATGAAGTATCAACCCTCTCAGCCTCGGAGCCCGAGACACATATGTGCATGAAAACTTACTCTCAGCCTCGGAGGTTTTTGCCAAAAAATCGTTGATTTTTTTTTTTTTTTTTTTTAGGGATCATTTCACTGCCATGGAATTGTTTTATTAATTGTAATGGGGTCTCTTCTAGCATAAAATTGTCTGAGAAATTGTATGAAACCATAAAAAATGTATTATTCTTGAAATTTAAGCCACTTTTATCGAGTATAAGTTAGGAAGGAAAATGTTTAGTAACATCTTGATTTCTATTCGCATTCTCCTAGTATTATGGTGTTCATTGATATATACTATATACCAAGATAAATAACAAAGCATGTAGAATATTGTGGTGTAAGGAAAAATAATATAACACAAAAACTCATGGAATAATTGAGAGGCCGAGCAGTGCACCCTCCTCTCACTCTAATGGTGTCACATGTCGGCCCACACCGCTGTCCATGATTGGCTAATGAGGTGATACCCGATAACAGCCAATGTCAATGAGGGTGGTTCACGGCCTGTATGCTTATATAAGTTTTCTAATGTTTTAATTTACGAAGTTTTTTAAAACAGTATTATTTAGTTTTGGTTGCTAAAACATTGTGTAAGAGCCATATTCTGTTTTATAGGGTATAAGGTGTAAAACTTTTAATTTATTGTATTAGGATTAGTTGGCAACCGAGCCATATTAGTGTGGTGGTGGTGGTCACGGCAGAGCAGTGTGAGCCACCGACTGAACTGGACACCACGGAGAACCAGGAACTCCAGGCCTGGTATACACACGCTGACGTGGGGTACAAGATAGCCGCTGAGTTGTGCGTGAAGTAATCGGAGATATTTGGACATGAAAACTTGCTCTGTGAATGTAAATAGTGTAATATTCAGGTATGTAATTTTTACATGACCAGTTTCCATAAGCCCTTTCCCTCGGTCTGAAAGTCCCGTGACAACTGACAAATGGCCAGAGCGACAGTGGCTTCATGCTGCGCTGCCATGCACACGATGGCCAAGACCATCTCGGGGAAGGTGATAAGGCCCACACAAAGGAAACAACGTCTGTCAAATGGCTTCGAAAGTTCAGTCAGTTTCATTGAATAATTTTTTAGTAATTTGATAATATAGCCCATTGCTCGCGAGGCTGAGCATACGTTTTTTCGCCTTTTATGTAAGATACCACAATGGCGTCGTGCGAGGCTGAGAGGGTTAATAGGCATACCTGTATAACACTGCTTATGGCAAACCATCATGAATTACAATATTGGCTGAATTGGTTCAGTAATATAGTGATTTATGTTTGAGTTCTAATACAGTACAGGACCAGACATGAGAAAGACACACCTTTAAAAGTGTGTGGGGATACAGAAACTCTTTTTTATGATCAACTACAGTACAAAAGATTTCCACATTAAGGAAAGGCAAAGTGTTATACAGTACAGTACTACAGAGTTATCATTATATATATATTTTTTTAGAACTAGACTAAAGAAATTGCAAATGCACTTGAATGATATGAGAACCTCGAGTCAAGTGGTGGTATGCGTGTGACTCAGCATTAAGAGTGAATGGATGATAATAAATGAAGAGAGTCTGTGAAGTAGGAATAGTACTGTACAGTACTGTATTTTGTAAAGGGCTGCAAGTTCCTGGAGCCAGACTTTGTATACGTTAAAGTTGTAAATTGATCTAAAAAAATTCCAACATCATGATACCCAATAGGTCAAAGACTTCGTGGAGTGAAGGCTTAAAAAGAGGATGTAATTTTTTTTCCCGATTTGTTTAAAATTACAAAGAAATTAAACCACCTGAAAGAATTATTCTAAACGGTGGGTAGCAGGTAACATTCTCAACCCTCCTTAATCTCCTCACAGTATCATAACATTGTAATAAAATGCCCCTTTTTTTATTGGATCATTAACAGATGGAAGTGGAACAATGTTGAGTCTTCCTATTCAGTTGGTGCAACTACATGACCCTGGGGGTGATACTGGTGTTGGACGAACTGGTGGTGTGTCTTCAGGTATGTCCGGGTTCACTGGACATCTCATCATCAAGAACAACCCTGATGGAACACGTACATTTCTTTTTGACCCACCAGAAGTTGGGGTAGGTACAGTACTACACATTTGAATTGTAGTAAAAATATATAGTATCCAGACATGTGGAAATATGAGTAGTGAAAGAAAGTAGATGAGTAATTGGGAGGTATATTGAATACAGTACTGTACACATTTTAGTGGAAATATTTTTTTTTTGTTCACGACTTACTTCACACCAGTAGAGTCACTCATGCTTTTATGACAACCAAGATGGACTTGAGTTCGGTATTAGGGAGCTAATCCAGAATACTTCATAAGGTCCAATTTAGGACAAATTCAAGGTTTCAGGGTCTTAGATTGCAGGGTGAGCAAGTGTAAAGGGTGAAGTTCAAATAATGTAATGAGGAGTGTATAATTAGATCTTTAGCACTTTGTCCTGATTTAAGTAAGCCATTTATTACCTAAGTAAATTTGATTTGTTGTGATGTAATATGATTAGTTAAACAATACTAAATATAACTCGCTTTATTCCCTAAGTTATCGGTGAGTGGAGAAGATGGAGTAGAAAGCCGATTGGATTTGTCTGAAGTGGCAGTTGGGTCGGCCTTGACTGATCTTCAGGAACGGTAAGTAGATTATGATATAAACATTGTATATAGGGTGATTGGAAAGTTCCTGTGCACTTGTAATAATTGACAATATAGTTGTTCCTACATTGTTATATACTGTACAGGTACTCCTCGACTTACAACCACCCGGACGTACGACCGCTGTAGTCGTATAAAATATTGTTCAAATTACGTATTTTCTAGTCCCTACGTTGGTGATCGCGCTGTGTACTGACAAAATTTTCATTTGTAATTCCCTTTAAAATGGCTGACAAGCGTAAAAGTGAGAGTTCTCGTGGTGCTGAGAAGAAAAAGAGACACCCATTTTAGAATTTCTATTGTATTGTTTTCGCATTTTCGACTTACGACCAATTTGACCTACCCTGGTCGTCGGTCCCTAACCCCGTTGTAAGTCGAGGACTGACTGTACCTTGTTCAAATTGCTGTAAATAATGGAATTGGTACTATATCCACTTCCAACATTTACTTTGACCATTTCCAATATGTACTTTAAGTAGAACAAGGCAAATAACTTTATTGTTAATAATACAGGTGGACAGGGACTTCCCAATTACCCTGTATTGTTGATTATTGGAAATGAATACTGTACTCTACTGTAATCTGAATGTGGAGAATAGATCCTGGGATGTGTTAGGGAGAGTGATGTAAATGTACTGGGCTTATGAGATTTTGAGAGAAACTAAGTGGAAAGGGAAAGGTTTATAGTAAAATGTTGGAGTAGATGTAGATGAGAGGTAGGAGAGGAACTATAGTAAAATAGTGAATTACCTTATAAGGAAAGGTATTTAGAAGTGAATGTGTGAGATTAAAACTTGTAGGGAAGAATGATTGAGTAGTGAAAGGGAGGAGGAGAATATAGGAGAGGATGGAGTACTGTAGTGAATGAATAAGAGATGTAGAATATTTCTTATTCCTGAAGCATGTAATACAGGTCCACAATCCCTTATCCGCAATTCCGAATTCCGAAAAGCTCTGAAAACCGAAAGTTTTTTCGTGGAGCATCGCTCGTGTGCACGGCAGAGTGACGCCGAACTGACAAATAAATTTATGTAACATATTATCAGTTTTGAACTGACCATCACTGAGGTTTAATGATTTTAATTCCTTAATCAAACTATGTCAGTGGCCCAAGGTTAAAAATGCTTTGAAAACCTTTGATCTAGATGTATGATAGTTATTTAGTGGGTCCCTTATTTTTTACCTGACCTGACTAGTCACATTACCCCCTTCTCTTAAGCTCCTCTACGTGTGTGTTGGTGTGGGGATTAGTGGATGACATCATTATGACCTGACCTCATGTTTTATAAGGTCACCCTGTATATTTATGCCTCTCTCTGTCCATGTAATCCAGTTGCCTCTGAAGATGTCTTGAATAAAGACGAAAGCTAAGGTGCTCCGTTGTTTCCCTTTTTCCTGTGTGATTTTATCAAGATATATATATATATATATATATATATATATATATATATATATATATATATATATATATATATATATATATATATATATATATATATATTTATATATATATATATATATATATATATAAAATGAGGTCCAGTTAAAGTGAGAATCCAGCGTTAAGTGAACAACAGCATATGGGATTAATTCAATAGAAACCGGCCCGACCCCAAACTCCACTTTTTGAAGGCACATACCTTATTTGTAGTAAAAATAACATCTTAATTTTATGATGGTACATGCACACAATTAATATAGAGAAATAAATACAGTCGCCAAGTTAATGTCCATTCAAATAATGGACTCAACTCCTCCCTCTCACACTACACAGCCGGTTAACAGATGGTGGGTCGGTCCTCCCCACCCCCACCAACCGTCCCCAAGGAGATGTGTGGGATAACCTCAAACTAAAGTTAGGAAAATATAATTGACATTGCTGGATTCCTGTAAGACCAGGAATATTTTGAATATATAGTGTCATATATTTTGCCAAAAGATATCTCATAGTTACCTAGAGAAAAAATTTTTTATCTAAAATTGTAAGTTTAAAAGCAAAATATATGATGTTTATATTCAAAATGATCACCAAATTATAAGAATTCCAGCAATGTAAATTATATTCTGACCGGGTAATTTGTATGAATTTTATGACTAAAACAAATATCTTCAGTTAATAAAAAAAATAATCTTCCACGACACTATCTGTCAATCAAAGTACCCCACCTTGCCTCCCCCTCTTTCCAACCGGCGGTCAGTCCCAACCCTCCCCCACCCACAATCCTCCCCCAGAGTTTTTTATTTAGTATTAAATAATACCTCAGATTAAAATTAGGGATAATATAATTGACATTGCTGGATTCCTTGTAAGACCAGGAATATTTTGAATAAATGTCATATATTTTGCACAAAGATACCATAGTTACCTAGAAATTTTTTATCTAAAATTTATGATTTAAAACAAATATATGATGTTTATATTCAAAATGATCCTGAAGATATAAGAATTCCAGCAATGTAAATTATATTCTGACTTGAGTAATTTGTATATGAATTTTATGAGCTAAAACAAATATCTTCAGTTAATAAAAAAAAATAATAATTCTTCACAGGGTAGCAGATGGTCGGTCGGTCCCTCCCTCCCCCACCCCACCAACCGTCCCAAGGAGATGTGTGGGATAACCACTAAATTTTAATAAATAATACCTCAAACTAAGTTAGGATAATATAATTGACATTGCTGGATTCCTTGTAAGACCAGAATATTTTGAATATAAATGTCATATATTTTTGCACAAAAAGATACCATAGTTACCTAGAGAAAAATTTTATCAAAATTGTAAGTTTAAAGCAAAATATATGATGTTTATATTCAAAATGATCCCAAATTATAAATTCCAGCAATGTAAATTATATTCTGCCTGTTAATTTGTATGAATTTTATGAGCTAAAACAGGCAGTCAGGCAGGGTTGGCGGGTGGGGCAAATCTAAAGTAATAGCGTCTCGGACACTCACGGCGTATATATTGGAAAAATCAGCGTTAAGTGAAAGTTCAGCTGGCAAGGCACCGCGTATATGCAGCAGCGTTAAGTGAAACCGCGTTAAGCGGGTAAATAGTTTATCGAATTTTGTTAGATTAACGAATTGAAGATCATATGGAAGGCAGTTAGTTAACGAAATTTCGTTAACGAGTTAAGTTAAGCTATGTGTGTGTGTGTGTGTGTGTGTGTGTGTGTGTGTGTATATATATATATATATATATATATATATATATATATATATATATATATATATATATATATATATATATATATATATATATATATATATATATATATATATATATATATATATATATATATATATATATATATATATATATATATACAGCCTCGTTTATGAGCCTCGGTTAACGAAAATTTCGTTATGAACTGCCTTCATGAGATCTTCAATTAGGTTAACAAAAATTGATTGCCAATTTCTTCAGAACCGACCTCAACATGTTTCGCTTGCACTGACAGCGACAGCAACTTTATCTGATCCCGCCAATACATTAATCGGTTCTAGGGCTTAAATTCCTTAATATTTTTAGTAAATGTCAAGAAGTTTATACTATTCAATAATTTTAAAAGTTTAATATTAACTTTTAGTCATTTTAACAATTATTGAACATAATTGAAGGTAAAGAAACTAGTTTCTGGCGTACATCCAGCCTGTTAACACACCAGACAGGCGTTATTCTCTGTTTTCAGTGGAGGTAACATCTTGCTTGAGACTCTCTTCAACTAAATGCTTTTTTCTGTGTTCCCAAGCAAATTATTGGTCATTTTGAAATATATTTTACATATTGACAATATATAATGCAGTGCAGTGTTGATTTAAAGAAAATAATCTTGAAATACACCAAGAGAACTAAAATTTATGGATGAAATGGCCATGGGGTGACTTCTTCCACCCCAATGCCTTTTTCTTCCTTCTCCTCCACCCCATTCTAATTCCCATCATCATCATCCAAGAGCCTTCTACATACACACATCAAAGTAAGTGAACTTTTCTACCATTTTTGTTGAATTTAGGAAATTTTCGGTGAGCTGGAACCACTATTCCAAAAACCCATTGAAACAATGGTTTCGTTAACGAACTTTTCGGGTTACGAGCGAATCCACCTTCTGGAACGGATTGAGTTCGTTAGAATCAAGGGGTCACTGTATATATACACACCTCAGTATATTATAATCACTTGTGATATTTTGTGAATTTAAGTCAACTATTGCATATGTTCCATAGGAGTGGGTTCCTACAGCTTGATGAGGGCATGGTAGCTGTGAACCAGGTTGGTGGTGAGATTGGACAGGAGTTATCTTGGCTAATGCAGGGGACTACCTGACACAGAAAGATGGCACCATCCCACAGTTTACTTCTTTTAATATTGTTGATGGTCAGGTGAGTTGTCATTACATTATAAGCTTAGTAGTAACTGTAAGTTGAGACTAATTTTTAGATTATATCCCTCTGTATTGCAATAACTTCTCTGCTTTGATGCAGGATAGAATACTTATGCACATGTATTCATATCTTAGGATGTATAGGGGTTGTGGGACTGGGGAGACCACCTGAAGTGCCTGTCAGGAATTCACTTACATCAAAGTTGACCTCAGAATTTGGTTAAAATAATGGAAAAATTGAAAGTGTTGTTCGTGGGAGCTGTAGATTCAGAACAGCATTAAGTAAATAAAGAAATTGTGTTGGTCTTATATGAGCACACGAAAAGAACATTATTAGTCAAGTTGACAGAGAGGTTATATCAAATGAGTTACTGTACTGTAGTATTTGTAACAGACAGTCTTTTTATTGAACAACATGTACTTGTCTTGCTCATCTCTAGCCCAAATATTACCCCTCCCCATTTCTCTGAGGCTTCATTATCCCTCAATCTTTGCTTAAGCAGAAGTGGGGGAACATAAATAGACATTTATTTTATGTAAATTGCTTTATGTTAGATGAGTTCGTTGTAATTTATGTTGAATACATCTTTCTTTTATTTTTTCTCAATATGTCATTATATGTTTGTTAATTGTAAATTTTATTACAGATGGTTTTAACAGCCACAGAAGCTGGTGTTGATGATACAGTCACCTTAGAGGGAGGAAACCTAATAAACTCAGCAATGGCCACACATGATGCAATATTACCAACGCCAATACCCATTTCAATCAAGAGAGAGGTACACAATATATTTTATAAGGTTGTTATAAATATAATAAAAGTTAACACATTAGGAATATTTTTAATTTACTAGTGCATGACAGTATACTGTACAGGTACTGTATTTATTAATTCTTGTACAGTAATTTAAAAATTTGAAATAATTCATTTCAGTAATTTTAGAAATTGCAAATATTTTTAAAATGACATGTTATCAGGCCAGACAGTGGCAAATCTCTAATAGAAGTCACATGTATGAATATACTATTGAGGCAATACCTCTCCAATAAGAGAACTGAACTCTGGTAAAAACACAAGAAATACTTAATTTAATACACATAATCTATAGTGTCCTGAAATCTGAATAGGTGCAGGTCTGGTCAGGTTACATCTTTGTTATCATTGGGTAGTTTACTTATAATTTGTCCTATCATTTTACCACAGCCAGATATGGAGCCCCCAGTAGGTAAAGGTCCATTTACTTGTGAGAGTTGCAATTTAACCATAGACAAGTGGCCGCAGTATAAGAAGCATTTGAAGAAACATCTAGAAGATAAGCCATACCAGTGCTGTGAGTGTGAAGCTTCTTTTAATGTCCAGGTAAGTTCTTTGTTATATGATTGGTCATTGGAATTGTTTTTCCTGTTACATTACTTTATTGAGGTAGTTTGGAATATTATTGTGACCAAGACTTAAGAGCTGCTATCTAGTGCTATGCGAGCCAAAGCTGTTAATGTTGTGTTTGTTTAGCTATATTATATCTCTTTTGTTGCATCAAATGAAGGTTAATTTCTGTTAAATATATAAAAATTCAATAAACAGTTACGTCAGTAGCAATATACAGTATTTGAAGTTTGAGTATTTGTATTGTTTTTCCTATTGGGTCCTTAAGATGAAACTACTGTACTGTACCTGTAATCTGAAGAAAACCAACAAATCTTCTCATTGGGACAGAGAGATCCGCTTCAAGAATTATCATTGCATAGTTAATGGTTGAAAAGTTCTAGGAGATTATTTTCTACTCAGTCTTTAACATGTTTATTAATTTTTTATTATAATTGTATTTTTTTTATCCACAGAAAAATCTTCGTCTGCACGAGGCTTTACATGCTACTGACAAACTCTTATGTCCAGAATGTGACAAAACTTTCAGACGTGTGGCCTCATTTAAGGCTCATCTTGCTGTCCATGAGGAAGATGAATCAGTCACGTGTGAGATATGTCATGAAGAATTTATATCTGTTGTAAGTTGAATATGTGACTTTTTGAGACTTAAGTTTTCTCCCATGATTGTAGCACAACACTGATATATCAGCACAACAAATGATCCATTCAAGACTTTTTTTTAAGAAACTGGAAGTATTTGGTACACTTCTGTACTCTTAAGATTTTTTTTTATTTATTTTTTTATGTTTGTTCTAATAATGAATTATGTACATTGTACCTCAGAGTCAGCTTGAGCCACACTACCAGCGTCACAGAGATGGCCTGGACCAACCTCAGGAACGCAAAAGGCTTAGTTTAGTATGCAGAGAGTGTGGGGCAGAATTCACTAATCATGCCATGCTCAGTCATCATATGAAAGTTCATAAGAAGGTAGTGTGATTGAATACTGTATATTTTTTCCGTGCATCGATATATGAGTAGCTTTCAGTGTATTATCATCCTTATACAATCACCATATAACTTATTCCTAAAACCCACTTGAAGATAAATAGACTTGGTACTCTGCCAAATGTCTGATTGTCCAATTTTTCCTTATTTACTCTCATGTAATATGTGAAAATTAAGTAAAATAAATTTTTTTTACATGCCTTCTTATTTGCCTTGTAGATAACAGGAAGGTGATCCTTAGAGTAACCTTTCATGGCACAAGAAATTAGCATAGGCCTCAGCTTCAAGTTGCCAGCAGTGTTTGTGCCATGCATCAGCGTCAAGCAGTCTTTTGCCGCTTTAAAACCTGGCGCTCCTTTTTCTTCCTTGGCGATATAGGTTCTTTCGGGCATCCTCTTGACAAAAGAGAACAGTCTCATCCACATTGAAGACTTGCTTCGCTGAGTAGCCTCCTTCCTCGATAATGCTTTTGAACTCCGGCGGGAATATCTTGGCAGCAACCATATCTGAACTAGCAGCTTCACCAGTCATCTTAATATTGTGGAAGTTATAACGGTGCTTAAAAAGTTGAAACCATCCTCGGCTGGCTGTAAAGGTCTCATCCTTCGATCCTTCACCTTCTGCTGCCTTTAAGTTGTCAAACAAGGATTTTACTTTATACTCACGGGCATTACGTTGATTCTGGTTCTCCCTCCACGTAGCCAGCATCTTTTCCAGCTTTTCAATCACGGAACTTCGAGCACGGCTTGTCTTTGTTGTACTCAGAGAAGTACCACTTCCAGCACTAGCCTTATTCTTGTCTGTGCTGGTCTGGATAGTACGCACTGTTGTGGGGGGTTAGACCTCGGGAAGCAGCAATGTCCACCGCACGTTCACCTTTCTCAAAACGGGTTAAAACCTCCATTTTTGTAGCAAGGCTAATGATCTTATGTTGCTTCTTCACAACACTAGCATCAGTAGTACTTGATGGGTGCTTGGAAGCCATTTCAAATGGCTAGAGTATAGTATTAAGAGCAAAAACACTTAAACACACACGAACGCTGTGGAAGCCTAACAAAGACTGGCGACGCTTGGGGGTGCTGTGCGACACTCCGCGAGTGAGAGCATAGTATGCCTAGCTGAGAGCATCATAGCTCTCCAAGATGAGAGAGGGTGATGCGCCGTACAAAGTAGTACGTGACGACGTTATACTAAATCGGCGGGACGTTATCCAAATCATGGGTATCTAAAGAATAGGGACGTTATAACGAAACAACGTTGTCGGAGGCAACGTTAAACAAGGACTTACTGTACATACAGTACAATAAAGGTCTAGAGTTGTAAGGGAAAATGTGGAATTTAGAATTTGAGAAAGTTTGGAGGTGTGGAGACTACTGGCAACACATAAGAGAGGTTGAGTAGAGCGATTAGCTCAGTCAGCTGAGATAAGTCAGATACCTGACCATCTGGCTGGTGGGAGGCTGTCAGTGGGGGAGGCAGGAGTGTTGGCTGGCATACGTGATAATTTGTACCTCTTTGCTGACATTTTTTGCTCCATTGGCTTTAAGCCACCTTTTTCCATCCCACTTTTTAATTATCTGGAACCAGCCCACAGTAAAATCATAGTGGTATGGAATTTTCAGTTCCTCACAAAGCTTTGGTCCAGAAAGGGCATTTTCTTTATTCCTTCATTGCTTGAACCATTCATGTAGCAATTTTCTCATGAATTGTCTTTGGTCTTGTTTTGCAGAATGTTCACTTTTTTTTACATTTACATTTTTGTACACTTTTAGCACTGTGTAACTCATTAATATAATTTTATTTTAGGGTATTGTGAAAGCAAAATAAATCGGTACAGTATTGAACAAAGTACAGAGCACACCAGGCAGGAAAAAAGACTCCTTAAAGTTTTGGCCATAGCTCAAGTCATCTGTGACCACAGCATTTGTGCCATGTAAAGAGGTTGGAGGTCTTTGAAATGTGGTGTTATAATAGGCGAATACTAAGAATAAGCTACACTGACAGGAAAACAAATGATGAAGTACTAAGATCAGTAAAAACTTCAAGAAAAATTATTGAAATATACAGAAAAAGAAAAATGAGGTACCGATACAGTACTGTACTTTGGTCATATAATTAGGGACGAGGGAATAATAACAGAAATATTGATGAGCAAAGTTGCGGTGGGAGGGCCCGGGGAAGGCAGAGACTTGGATGGATGAATTAAATAAAAAACTGCATCCTTAGAGAGATACAAAACATTGAAGGATTAGCAGAAACAGCCTGAGACCATTTAGAGTGAGGGACTGTGGTCACCAACCCTCAAGGACGGGTGGGATTTATTTTCATAGAGAGCATTGTAACAAATGAGAGGTTATTTACGGATTTTATCCTATGTATTGAGTGAGGATGGGGAGGAGAGGTGAAGGAGATGGGGTAAGCAGGAGGAAAGAGGGTGGTGATAGAGGGAAATTCCTAGGTATGCTCCTCACAATCTCTTAGGAAATGTGAGAAAAATGAGATGACAAGAGACACAGAGATGGAAATAATACCTGTATGTGGGAAGAGGGAAGAACCTCAATAGTTTAGCCTGGCATGCATATACTGCACTGTAGGAGGATACTAAATTTATATATGCATTAGAGTACAGTACAATACAATACTCAAGTGTTCCTTTTCTACACTCCACTGTTTAAACTGTACTTATACAGTACGGTACTACTATTATTATTATTTCCACTATTTATTTCAGATTAAGATCCAGTTCATAATATGGTCAACTGAAAAAGAGTAAGATATATTTCTGACTTTATTGAACAGATTGTTAAAACTGACAGGCTTAATGTTTCAAACCAACTTTTAACTTTAAGGGACTGCATGACGCAACTCACAATAAAAACTCAAGGTTAAAAAATACAATAATGTCTCCGCTAGCCAGAATCTCTCAAACCCGGAACTCTCTGATAGCCGGAATTGAAATCATTCCCAAAGCCGTAATTTTCCGGAAAATTCCGGTTTTGGGAACGATTTTCCGTGGGGCATATTTCCGGAAAATTCCGAGAAAATTTTCTGGATACCCTTAAATTCCGGGGAAGGGGGAGTTTTTTTTCTGGGTTTGAGAGATGAAAATCAGGCGCATTTTCTGGAAATTACGATAACAATTTTTCATTACCCGGAAAATTTGCCATCAGCAAACTAAAAAAACTCACGATACTACCACTCTATCCAGCACTCAAAGCCAGACTGAAGATTTTGAACACAGTCCTCATCAAACTGGCATGACCCATAAGGCCTCTGACAATGGTGTGGGCCATTGGTCAAGCTTGTGGCATTATGGCAAGAGATAGTTCAACTGTTCAAGTCTCTAAATTGAATATAAGCAATGTATAACACTATATAAATGACGTTTATGCAGTGTCACCCATTATATAATGGAATTCAATGGGAATATGTGCATCGATTTACCAAAAATCTACTTATGAGAGCTTTTTCAGGAACATTCCTCTTGTAATTCGGGGTCTGTCGTAAGATCTGTAACTTTTCTCATATTTATTTGTGTTTGTATACTGTATTGTATTTGGCTGAACTTTCAAAACTAGATTTGTGTGTTCACACAATTCCATATTTTATTTATTTTTGGATTATTATTTGGCCTCTTTAGTTGATCTAGAGGTAATGATAACGATAACATTAAAAGTTGTTTTCTTGTCTCATCAATGATTATTTATGAAAATGTCTTCTTATCTAAACAGGTAAAGAAGATGACAGCAACCAAACCAAGAAAGAGAATAGACCGATCAAAGTTTGAAAATAAATGTCAAGAGTGTGGTAAGAATTTTATCAAACCTTCACAACTGAAAAGACATATGATGATTCATACTGGTGAAAGACCCTTTAAGGTATGTAGGGCATTGTCTATAGATATACATTGATAACTTAGACACCTAGGAATAGGTTTGGGTTGTGTCAAGTCTCAAATGTAATTTTGTTTTTGAATTGACTTGAAAATATCTACTATAAACATACTGTACATAGTTTTGTGGCTTGTGTGAATTATCAAATGTAATCTATGAAATTTGACTTTGGATTGACTTTGAAAATTCATAGTAAAAGCATAATTACCATTTTAAGTTAATGTTTTTATAATAACTTTCCTCTTTCCTGTTTACTTTGTTTCTGTCCTCTAGTGTACCTATCCTGGGTGTGACCGAGCATTTAACCAGAAGTACACTATGCTGATTCACATGGACATACATACAGGTCGGAAAGACTATAAGTGCGAGTTTTGCAATAAAGATTTCGTACAAAAGAGTAAGTTTATTGTAATCTTATAGCCTCTCTCTCTCTCTCTCTCTTTATATATATATATATATATATATATATATATATATATATATATATATATATATATATATATATATATATATATATATATATATATATATATATATATATATATATATATATATATATACACACACACAGTTAACCCTCACTTTACGCGGTTAATGTAACCCGGAGGGTACGCGGAAAGCGAGAAACGCGTAAAGTGAATAACATAACATATGGGATTAATTGAAATGGAGTCCAGGCCGATCCCCAAACTCCACTTTTTGACGACACATAACTATGTTGTAGTAAAAATAACATCTTAATTTTATGATGGTACATGCACACAATTAATACTTAAGAGAAATAGAGAAATACAGTCGCCAAGTTAATGTCCATTCAAATAATGGACACGACTCCCTCCCCCTCTTCTCACACTACACTGCTGGCTCTTCCCTCTGAGAAATTTTGGGGGGAAAACCAGGTACTGTATAGTAATAAATAATACCTCAAACTAAAGTTCGGATAATATAATTGACATTGCTGGATTCCTTGTAAGACCAGGAATATTTTGAATATAAATGTCATATATTTTTCACAAAAGATAACATATTTACTCAGATTAAACATTTTATCTAAAATTTGTATGTCTAATGCAAAATCTATGATGTTTATATTCAAAATGATCATCAAATTGTAAGAATTCCAGCAATGTAAATTATATTCTGGCCGGGTAATTTGTATGAATTTTATGAGCTAAAATAAATATCTTCAGTTAATAAAAAAAAAAAATATTCTTCATGACACTATATGTCAATCAAAGTACCCCACCTTGCCTCCCCCTCTCTGCCAACCGCACGGTCAGTCCCAACCCTCCCCCCCACCCCCCACCAATCCTCCCTTCAAGAGATGTTGGGTGAAAAATTTAGATTTTAACATTTTGTATTAAATAATACCTCAGATTAAAGTTAGGATAATATAATTGACATTGCTGGATTCCTTGTAAGACCAGGAATATTTTGAATATAAACGTCATATATTTTGCACAAAAGATAACATACTTACTCAGATTAAACATTTTATCTAAAAATTTTATGTCTAATGCAAAATATATGATGTTTATATTCAAAATGATCACCAAATTGTAAGAATTCCAGCAATGTAAATTATATTCTGGCCGGGTAATTTGTATGAATTTTATGAGCTAAAATAAAAATCTTCAGTTAATAAAAAAAAATATTCTTCACACGGTAACAGATGGTCGGTCGCCGGTCCCTCCCTCCCTCCCCCCCACCCCCCACCAACGTCCCTACTAGATAAATGTGTGGGAATACCAGACTGTTTACCTTTTTAGTAATAAATAATAAATCAGACTAAAGTTAGGATAATATAATTGACATTGCTGGATTCCTTGTAAGACCAGGAATATTTTGAATATAAATATCATATATTTTGCACAAAAGATAACATATTTACTCAAGAGTAAACATTATATCTAAAATTTGTATGTCTAATGCAAAATCTATGATGTTTATATTCAAAATGATCATCAAATTGTAAGAATTCCAGCAATGTAAATTTTATTCTGGACTGGATAATTTGTATGAATTTTATGAGCTAAATTATAAAAAATTATACTTCACCCGTGTAAAGGGGTACACCCACCGCGGAATGTGAGCATCCTGGGTTCTGGCAGGGCACCGCGTAAACGTGGAAACGCGGAATGTGGGACCGCGTAAAGTGAGGGTTGACTGTATATATATATACAGTATATATATATATATATATATATATATATATATATATATATATATATATATATATATATATATATATATATATATATATATATATATATATATATATATATATATATATATATATATACATACATACATACATACATACATATATATATATATATATATATATATATACGTATATATATATACGTATATATATACGTATACTGTATATCTATGCAAGTAAATCACTGTAGGTGCACGTGATCCAAGTATATGCTGATAACCACAAGAAAACACGAAGTTCCCAAGCGCTTTCGTGTAATTCACATCTTCAGGGGTGATTACAGACTAGGGAGTAATACTTGACAAGGCTAATATATTCAGTAGAGGAGAGTGAGATCAAGTCCCTTGGGGACAGCAGGTGTCCACAATGTTCAGGTCATAAGGCAGTGACCCAACCCTTACTAATCTTCTTAATCAAAAAATTGACCATGCCATCTCTAAGCACATCAGCTGTCCGTAGTCAGGTTATAGGGCAAGATGACCCAACCTTCTCACCTGGTTACAAATCTTCTTAATCACAAAATTTTCCAGTACATACATACCATTAGGCCATTACTCAAATTCATGTTGACAGATTCGGTATGTTTAATGAGACTGGATTCTATAATGTTCCTACGGACAATTGAATTACAAGGTAATATGAGGAGGCATTATCCCAGTCAATGCATTGCTTATTATCTCTCATATGAATGAACAGAGCATTGGACTCCTGGCCTGTCCTAACACTATATTTATGCTGTTTAAGTCTAGTTATAAGATCTTTACCCGTCTGGCCTAAGTAAAACATATTACATTCCTTGCAAGGAACCTTGTAAATGCAGCCACCTGCATTGTTGGGGGGAGTTCTTAATTAACATTTGTTTTACGGTGCATGAGTTTTTAAATGTCACATTAATGTTCCAGGTTTTCAGTTGTATAGGAATTTGAGAGAAATTTTTGTTAAATAGTAATATTAAGAGATTCTTATTGTCATGGGTTGGCTTAGGATCAGATCTATAAAAAGATTTCTTAGTAATGTGAAGGCATTTGTCTATAAAAGACCTAGGATACTTAAGGTTCAAGCCAATATTGTAGATATATTTATATTCCTCATCAGTGAATTCCAGACTGTATATTCCTCTACTGAATATATTAGCCTTGTCAAGTATTATTCCTTAGTCTGTACTCACCCCTGAAGATGTGGCTGTTGCCATTATTTTACCTTTAAATACTTAAAATTTAGCACTAAATATGCCTCCTAAGAGACCAGCAAGCAGTGGAAGTGGTTGTAATGCCGTGAAACATAAGCATGTGACATTAACTATTTTAGAAAAGATTATCTGTACTGAAGAAATTAGACAGTAATGGTACATTTTATGCATTATTTTGTCCTTTTTAACCTCGGCTTCAATGGTTCGGAATTTTCGCTGATCCGGAACCGATCTGGCCTCAAGCTTCCTGGATTAGCGAGGTCCAACCTGTATATTTATATACCATTGAAGTGTGTCACTTTTATGTACAGTTATGAGATATCCTTTTTGGGTTTGGTTTATTTTTGTCCACTGTCATCCCAGTACTGTACTTTTACATATTTGCTCTTACTGTATTGTGAAACACTTGCACTGACATCATGTAGTGTACTGTAATGTTTTGGCCAAAATCTGAACTAATTCTCTCCATTGGATGGGGTGGCTCCTTCTTACTTAGGTTTTGTATAAGTGACACTGTCTGATATACTTTCTAATGTGGCACACACATACTTTATTGATACTATGCAGTGTACAGAACTGTATTGTTTTTAGGCATTAATCTTCACCACATGATATACAGTATATAAAAAAAAAAATTCATGATGTAAATACAGTTTTTACCACATTTATTTTCTGACATATGATGACAGTGATTCACCTAAAACCTCACCTTCACTTCAGTTATGCAAGTGAATTTATATAACTTATTAAAAATGTACATTATACAGTACATGTACTGTACCATTATGATATATATATTTTTTTGGTTTAAAAGTAGTGTTCTATCTGTTGTACAGTAGCTAAAACAACTATCTGTGCAGGTGGGGGTTGATATGCTCCAAAATTTTACGTGTGACTAGTGACAGCCCTCATATACCAAAATTTATCGTCCATGGTCTCATATTGTTTCCCACAAAGTATGCATAGATAGTTGTCTTAGCCACTGTACATCATTCAATATGTAAAAAAAAAAAAAAAATCGATGTGTTTGTCAGACTAATGATGATTAGTTTTGTGTAATACAGCTATACAGATCACCCATGTGTCAAGCTTTTAATTTTTAGTTATACTTTCTATGCCACCAGTAGTGAATATTGTAATACTTGCAGCTTATGTAGCATATATTATTTTTACAGGTAATTTGCGAGGTCACATCAAGCGTGTCCACCCTGTCAACAAGGCAGGCCAAGAGTTGTTTGAATGTGAAGAATGTTCATGTGTATTTAAACGTGCTGGAAGTCTTAATGCACATATATCTCGTGTACACACCAATGAGGCTGTAATTGTGAGTTTTTTAGTTTACTTTCCCCACAGTATACAGTTTAGTTATATCTAATGTACCTTTCTCATATACTTATACTGTACAACCTTTAGTTATTCTTTTTTTTATAATTGCAAAAGATTGAATACAAGTACAGTATTCATATACATTACAGTACAGGGTATATTATTTGCCACTAGTCAGCACATTAAGAATTAGGACCTGACCTGGATTCAAAGATTTTGTTCTGAAGGTTAGGTTAGCCAGTGCCAGTAACTGAGTTGTCCATTTGTCCTCATTTATCCCTTGATTCACAGTTACAAAGATCACTGAGTGTGCGCTTATTTTATTTGTGGAATTTCTACATCTGAAGAAAATTGCCACCTAAGCTGTGTGTGTATGGGTGGGTGTGGGTTTTTTTTTGGGGTGTCATCATAATGCAGTTGAAAACATCACAACAGATAAAACCAAAAACAAACTATCAAACCTCTTATGGTTGCTGCATGGGATGTCAGGACCCTTCTGGAAACTAGCACAAGTGAGGATCTTGAAAGAAGAACTGCCCTTGTGGCAAAAGAGCTGTCTAGGTACAACATCGACAGGCATAAGTGAGTCCCGTCTCCCAGATGCAGGCCGACTCACAGAACAGGTCTGGCTTTACCTTTTCCTGGAAGAGGTAAGCCATTTGACGTTCTTTAACATTCATCCTGGGCTGGGCATGGAGCAGTGGCCCAACATCATACACTACAACCTCATCACCCATATTGATTTTCCCAACTCTAATAAAAATATTACAGGGTGGAGAAGACACATTCTATCCAACAATTTAGTCATAATTTTTTTTGTCTTCAATTAATATTGATTTTTTTTAAGAATGGTAGTGGCAAGAGGTAGAAACAGTCAGTTAACATCCTAGTTTAGTGCTCGAGTAACATCCTAGTTTAGTGTTCGAGTAACATCCTAGTTTAGTGCTCAAGTATCATCCTAGTTTAGTGCTCGAGTAACAGCCTAGTTTAGTGCTCGAGTAACATCCTAGTTTAGTGTTCGAGTAACATCCTAGTTTAGTGCTCGAGTAACATCCTAGTTTAGTGTTCGAGTAACATCCTAGTTTAGTGCTCGAGTATCATCCTAGTTTAGTGCTCGAGTAACAGCCTAGTTTAGTGCTCGAGTAACATCCTAGTTTAGTGTTCGAGTAACATCCTACTTTAGTGCTCGAGTATCATCCTAGTTTAGTGCTCGAGTATCATCCTAGTTTAGTGCTCGAGTAACATCCTAGTTTAGTGCTCGAGTAACATCCTAGTTTAGTGCTCGAGTAACATCCTAGTTTAGTGCTCGAGTAACATCCTAGTTTAGTGCTCGAGTAACGTCCTAGTTTAGTGTTACTGGTGGTGAGCAAGACCAAATGCAAAGCCATGCCCCCTGCTCTCTTATGTTGTCATATCAGGGTTCCCTCACGGAAGCCAGAAGCCTTATCAACCCTAGTGATACATTATCTGCCAAAAGTTCACTTGCATTCCTACCCAGAATCTTAAGTAAAGGCATAGATAACTAAGGGAAGTTAAGTCCATATGACACCTCCTCTTCACCTCCCCAGACACCTGCCCTCCTGGTTGGTTGGTTGTTTAAGCTTTAGGCCAATCAACTGCCAGTTTCATTGAGACCGTCAATATCAAGCTACATCCTTCATCCTTAACAACTTCAGGTGTTAAGGATAATTCTAAGACCACATACACTCACACTATGGTTGTGTCCCTTGACTTGTGCCCTCCGACCTTACCAAGGTCCGCCACCCCTACGTCTCCCCCATCAATAGCTCCCCCTCTTGTGACCCATCAGGTAGAAAGGCCTTTAGCTCGCAGATATGGTACTAGGAGGGGTGGATGATTAATTTTGACTGTGACTGTACTTATAGTGTTATGCTTGTATAATTTTTTTTTTTTAATTCCAGAGAATGGAGATGTCTGCAGATGCAAGAGATGTAATAAAAGATGTTCGAGATGTGATAAAGGAGATTCAGGATTTAGAAAAGGCTGGTCAGCGTGATCAGGTATTTGTTATTTGAAGTGATAATGTTTTCCCCTCAACAAAATTGGCTATAGGGGAAATTTTTTTCACCTTTTCCAATTCTTTATTTGTTGTTACTAACTGTTAGACTTGTTTTTACCTTAACTTAGAGTTTTCATACACTGATGAACCTGTACAGCTATAGTATTCACTTCTTATTGCAGTGTGTAAAATTATGATACTGTATGTTAAACTAATTTTCATCTAAGAAACAATACAGGGGGTCCCCGACTTATGAACACCCGCCTATACGAATGAGGTTAAACTTTAAATTTGCAGTATTTTATTTAGTTGGTGACTTATTTCTTACAATCTTTTACTGAGTTTTGTCATTCTATTTCTTTTTTTCTCTCAATATAAGTGATTTCAGATGTGTACTATAAGGACTTAGGCTATGATATAATGGGATTTTAAACATTGTTCTGTACGTGCAGTAGTGTATACACATAGCGTGTGTTTCGACTTACAGTAAGTTCTGCTATAACGCGATAGTTGTGTTCTTGTAAAACATCGTGTTATAGAAATTCGCGTAATAGAAATAACAGGGCTTATGGAGAAAATAGGGTCAGGTGCAGATTACTACTCAAAATCGTAAAAAATTTAGTAGTTAGCCTAACACAAAGGATAGCACAGTCTTAAATAAATGTTACATTCATATCTAATAATGAAATCATACAGTAAATGTAACACTTTACCTTGAAAAAATATGAATATAACTTGATGGGGGAGAAGGGTGATTTTGAGGTTGATAACATCGAGCTTCTCTTCAAGGGTTATAGCCTTTCTTTTACGATCATCACCGGAATGCGATCACCAGAACGCTTCTTGGAGATATTCTTCTTTACCATATTCACAGTTAATACCACAAAATTGGAGAAATAGTAAGCAAAAATCGCGTTACAGCAAACAAGCGTTCGCGTTATACAAATATCGTTCCTCTATTCATAAATCGCGTTAGAGCCAATTCGCGTTGTCAAAACACGCGTTATAGCAGAACTCACTGTACTTGTATATACATTTTTTACTTAAGAACGTCCTCAGGAACGGAACCCGTTCATAACCTGGGGATCCCCTGTCTACTGTATAGTATTAATGAAAATAATTAACAGTCTAATGAAAAAGGTCAGCAGCCCGAAGGCTGAAAATAGACAGTGGACAGAAATTACTTAATATATACATTGCCATAGGGGAGGGGGATGTTCAACTCAAGCTTTGATTAGGGAAAGTAAAAGGAACATAAAATGAACTTACAAACTAGTGTTTACAGTGAAGGTCACATAAACTACATGTGCTGAGGTGTTGAACAGCAAACGAGTAGTTTAGTGACTCCCTCACAGATGGTGCTATAAGGGGCCTCATGGTGTAGTACAGTGGTCTCCAACCTTTTGTAGGCTCTGGGCCACATGTATCTTTGTAAATATAGTGGAGGATGCCAAAACATTGAATCTACATTCAAGAAAAAAATCACATACTGTATAGTTATTTGCAGTTTTACACGTCTAACTGTTACCAGTTGTTTACTTCGTACATTTACTCTTGGACAGAACGTGTGTATTTACCCCAGTGAGAAGGCTGGCTCTCTCTTTGCGTCTGATCTGGGGTAAACACACACGTCCTGTACACAACAGACTCAGAACAAACTCGCAATCACTCCTCCCCACCCCCCCCCCTTCTCTCTCTCTCTCTCACTGTTAAGTTGTATCAAGATATTACATATTTTTGTTAATTTTACTCCTACAAAGAATCCCAAATAATTCACAATTTCTAATATACCCTTGACTCCATAATATGATTCTGCAGGTGCAGGACCACTTTTTACACACTCCCTCACAGATGGTGTTATGAGGAACCTCAAGTGGTGTAATAACTCCCTCACAGATGGTGTTATGAGGAGCTTCAAGTGGTGTAGTAACTCCCTCACATATGGTGTTATGAGGAACCTCAAGTGGTGTAATAACTCCCTCACAGATGGTGTTATGAGGAGCTTCAAGTGGTGTAGTAACTCCCTCACAGATGGTGTTATGAGGGGCCTCAAGTGGTGTAGTAACTCCCTCACAGATGGTGTTATGGGGGGCCTCAAGTGGTGTAGTAACTCCCTCACAGATGGTGTTATGAGGGACCTCACATGATATAGTAGCACTATGTGAGGGGATGTGTTCTTTGCTGGGAATTTTAGGGATACCGTACTTGGGCTGACTTTTTATACAAGAACATTTATAAATTGAAAACAAAAATATACGACATCTATACAAGCTCTAAAGTATATGAAATACAATATAAATTGAATTTGAGAGGCGTGTGTGTGTTTTCACTCTCATGGCTGTTCGTCAACAGTCTTTCTTTCTTGTCTGGTAAACAGTCTAACTTCTCCTTTAAAATTATTAGCATTTGCTATTTCTTGGTCTCAAGGTGTGCTGGTCTTTCTGCACCCACTGTACACAATTTGTGGTGATTTCTAAAGATATAAATGCATGCATACATACATAACCACTCTTGCAACACACATCTCTGCACATCTAGAAGGTTCTTGTTGATTTACATGTACAGGGGGGCCCCCAAGTTCGTGGATTTTTACTTTGCGATTCTCGGCTATTCGTGGATGACACCCTGGATGTATCCAAGAATGTCTGTGGGTAGTTTTAAAGTTCCCGGTATTTTCGTGGCTGGGACAGGGAGCCATTCGTTCTAGAGACAGTAATTTCCTTTACCTGTATTGTAAATATGTGTGTGTGTGTAGACACTCGCACACAAAAACACATACAAATAAATAATATTGGGAAAATCCTCTCACAAATAATCAGAAACAAACTTATTAAAAATGTGAGTTTGCCCTCAAGTCCATTCTCTATTACTTGTACAGTACTTTACAGAAGAGGGTATTAGAAATAAACTGTCAAAGCTAATGGTCCATAAGAGTCCCGTCTCGGACATGGTGCATCCCAGAGTGCTAAGAGAGTTGTGCAACGAGCTTGCCGAGCCCCTGAAGATCCTGTTTTGTAAATGCCTAGATGAACAAAAGGTCCCCAGTGAATGGAAAGTGGCTTATGTGAGTCCTATCTTCAAGAAGAGCGATCATCTCTCCTCAAACAACTATAGACCCGTGAGCCTGACCAGAATATGTAAAGTACTTGAGAGTATTATCAGAGATGCCGCGATGGAACATCTACTACAAAACAACCTTGTAAAGGATTGCCAACACGGTTTTATGCCGCCCCGGGACGCTCCTGCTTAACACAATTGCTCAAGGTATTGGATATTTGGACCCATATTCTGGAACGAGGTGGTAATATCGACAATATATACCTAGATTTTGCCAAGGCTTTCGACAGTGTACCCCACGAAAGGCTGAAAATCAAACTGGAAGGGTACGGAATTCGGGGAAATGTCCTAGTTTGGATAGAAGACTTTCTACATGACCGCAAGCAGTGTGTGGTGATTAATGGCATGAAATCATCGTCCGTACCTGTCACAGGCGGGGTACCACAGGGCAGTGTATTGGGCCCGCTGTTGTTTGTTTGTTTCATAAATGACATGCCTGACGTTGTACACTCCTCCCTACAAATGTTTGCCGATGACGCCAATTTATTTCGGGAAATCAAGAACCATGCGGACTGTGAACAGCTGCAGAAGGATCTCTGTGAAACACATAAAGGAAGTATACATTTCTTTGTACACAAGTAAAAATGTAACACACGCACACACACACCCGGTCCGCAAATGCTATTAACGGATTTGGTGATTCGCAGCCATTTTGAGAACCAAACCCCCGCGAATTTGTGGGGGCTCCCTCTACTGTTTAAAAAAAAATTGTATATGATAAAATTGCAATAAAGCAAAACACATTGTCATAATCGAAAAGTTTTGGTCGTAAAAAGTCATATTACAATAAAATGAAACTGCAGGGTACATAAATTTGCAATAAGTGAGGATTAATGGTATTCCATAACTCAAAGATCATACAGGAAGAATAAGTTACAGTATCTCTGGAGTTTGAAGTTACCTGGTCAAACATCATGACCACATTCTCCAAACATTCCAAGCACTGTTTAACATGAAATTTCATAGATACCTGTACCTTGCATTTAGGGGGAGGATGCTTCCTATAGAAGTTTAGATCTCTAAATAAAAGTGTTGAGGCCAGGGTATCAAATAATACTTTAGAGATGACCAATACATTTATTAACACACACACAAAAAAAATATATATCCACCAATAGTTAACAATAATGTTTATAAGAAATTAGCACTGATGCACTCCCTGTAACCAAATTCCTCAATAAGGTCCAGCACTCTACCACTATTGAAGAACATCATTATTAGATGAAATACACTCTGATTTTGTTCTCCACTAAAACTTAAAATTCTGGCACTGTCATGGAGGTGAGCCATAGTGTGTAGGAGGAAGATGACACCAGGTAAACCGGGGATGAGTAGTAGAGTCTATCCACTGTAGCTGGGGAATGATTCAACCCCTCAGTCAGTATAATAAAAAAAAATGGTATGTCTCCCTTAAGTCATATTCTAGTGAGAGAAAATATAATGTATAGGCAATTCAACCCTCCACCATGATAAGACCCAATTCTTTAGAATTATAAAATCATAAATGGTTAATATAATGTTGATATCTTTTTTTTTCATTGTTGTTACAGAAGGAATCATTATCTTCTAAGCTTAATCAGTCAGCATTCAAATTCAAACAAGAGTGTCAGGATCAACAAGATTCAGAATCATATGTAAAGGTAAAGTCATTTTTGTTAGTTTTGTGTAATGGAATTTGGATTTGATATTTATAGTTGCTATAAAGTAAACTTTGCTCTGCTTCATAAACTTCTTCCATGGTTCAGTCAGTTTAATGCTTTGTCAAATCCTCAAAATGTCTAATAGAATGTGTGATCTTGTGTATATTTAACATTTGAAATTTTATGGTCCATGAAGTGAAAGGAGGATATAGTGTTTGACTTGTTTGCTTTGGATGTACTGTATGTATTACTCTACATCCATATGTTCATAATACAGTAGCAAAATTTTCTCAAATACATCATGAAAACTTTATAGTCATGCATCTTGATAACTATTACAACACCATATCAAAGTAGGTTTCTGTGGTCTACATTTAGACAGGTTTTTGACATGGTTGTTAGATTTATGGTTAACCTTTGCATTTAACATGTATTAAGTGGTTAGCCTTTTTTATTTCCCCCATAATGTATCTAGTTGATGATGTATACAGTACTTAGGACTTGCTTAAGATGGGGGATGGATTATCAGCTCCCAAAATGCACAAAGCTCTTGTGTATAAACTCATCTCATATAGTTCAACCACTGATTATTTTTTATTATTTGTAAAAAAGTTTGAGTTTTTCATACAGTATATCTCGTATAATTTGACCATAGCTTTTGATAAATACGAGGTATAATCTGAAACATAATTTATAATGAGACACCAAATTCACACCAACGCATCTTAATCGTTACCACCACAACAGCTGATGCTATGAGCAGTGTTACCAACTCTGAAACTGAATTCCTGCCAGGCATCAACTCCTATGAGGAATAAGATAAATAACATAGACATTACCAGTATATGTGAGGAATAAATAAAAAAAAATAATGTATTGTCATTTGGCTGCTGGATGGTGAAATTTATCAATCGTTTTACAATACATAAGATACAGCTCAGAACAGCTGAGTTCCCACACTCCCCATTCCTCCACTCATGACCTCTTAACACACGACGAAAGTTTATTCCCTTTTATGTTTTTGACCTTAAGATTATTTTTTCATTTGACATTTTGTTTGTAAGATTGTGTGTGCATGTACAGTAACATTATAAAAAAAATGAAGGAAATTAAGTATATCTACTCAAAATTACGAATTTAAAAATAACCCAAACAGAGCTGACAGTTTGACCTTGAATGGGAGAGAGAGGGCTAGAATGATGTGAGTAAAGTGACGATTCTTGTGTTACCATTAAAAATACAACAAATACAAAACTACTATAAAATATTGAAACACAACCCCCAAAAAATGAATCCCTAGGCTTCAGGACACATCCTGTGATGTGTGTCTGTAGAGCTTTGGGTCATGTCACAGGACGTTTAATCTTTCACGGGCCTTTTTGAATAAAAAGGACAGGCCTGGCTAGTGTATGTTGCCAAGTAGGTATTTATCTTTCACTCACTCACACATGAAAGTCTCCCGGTTTCTTCTCAGTAGCTTCTCAGCTTTTGTGATGTAGGAATCTCACCCTTGGACTTGACTCACTTCACTATGTGTTTCTAACCCCCCCCCTCCCCCCCCACCAAGCACAAGTCTATTATTGGGATCAATTTCTGGAGCAGTAATAATGGTTGTTAGTGTAATTAGTAATAACCTAGGAAAATAAGTGACCTGTATCTTGTACTGCCTACAAATTAGTGTTGTTTACCTTGTTACTGCTGCATCACACACTTCACTTCACAAACATTCTTGACTCTTCATAGCCTTGGTGTTGCCAACTTGTGATAAAGACATTTATTTATTTCCTGCTTATATCACGCTTGGCCTGTTTGTAAGACTGGAATCACTTTTTATTTGTTTTTTAAATGTTCCTGAATATGTCCGCGTTGGGGGGGGAGGGATTGTCGACCATAGCCCGAAGCCCAGGTGTTAAGAAATATTTTCACAAGTGTAAAGTAATGGCCTACATGGTAAGTCAAAAGGCTGAAGCAGTCACAACTCTGTACCTCCTTTCCCAGCATTCATAAACCATACCACATACCTCACATGTCGGGGGCTATATCTAGTGTGGGAGGGGCGGCGGCAACGTCTCTCCAGCATTGGTGCTTGTCTATCTTGTTATGAAGTCGGGCCAAGTCGAAAGTATTGACACCTTCTCATGTGGTGGTGTGGTGATCCTCCAAGTGTTACGGTGTGGAGTAATCATCTCCCAGGTGAGGGGGTCGATTTGGCTCTTTTTCAAGTTTGTCTTAAGACTATCCTTATACCTTTTCAGTTGCTCGCCAGTGTTACGTTTACTATTCGTTAGGTGAGTGTAAAGTAGCTGCTTTGGCAGTCTACTGTCGTCCATGCGGGTAACATGGCTAGTCCAGCGAACTCAGAGGATTGAATGTAGACTACATTGGTGAAAGTTTTCAAGTGCCTTGAGGTGCCTCCTGTATGTGACCCATGTCTCACTGCCATATAGAAGGGTGGGGAGGACCACTGCTTGATATACTTGTAACTTTGCAGATAATTTCAACTCCTTACAGCTGAAGACACTGTTTTGGAGTCTGCCAAAGACTTGAGATGCACATCTGATCCGATGCTCAATCTCTTCATTGACGTCCACTGTGGTGGACAGGTGAGAGCCAAGATACTGAAAGTGGGTAACATGAGAGAGGGTAGTACCGTTAAGCTGGATGAATGGTGAAAGTGTGGCTGAACCAGGGGCAGGCTGAAAGAGAATCTGTGTCTTATGTACATTCACCGCAAAGCCGAAATGTGTATATGCATCTGCATAGGTGTTCAGGATCTCCTGTAGGTCGTGTGTGTATGTGTGTGTGTGAGCGACAAGGGTGAGGTCGTCTGCATACTGAAGCCCAGTAATGGAAGCTGCGGACACCTTTGTTCCTGCCTGGAATCGTCTTATGTTGAAAAGACCCTTCATTCGGTACTCGATGTCCACCCCACCAGTTAAATTGGTACTGTCACGAGTAAGGAAGACAGCCAAGAAAATGGAGAAGAGAGTTGGTGCCAGTACACACCCTTGTTTAAACCCAGTTTGGATGGGGAAGAACTCTGACTGGGTGCCATTGTGCAGGACACTGCCGTTCATGCTATCGTGGCGATGAATTTTGGTGGACAGCCAAAAAGGCTGAGGGTCCACCAGAGGGCTTCCCTGTTGACCGAGTCGAAGGCCTTGGTTAGGTCGATGAAAGCCATGTACAGGTCATGACTGTTCTCTCCACTTTTCCTGTTTCTGACGGGCAGCAAAGATCTTGTCAATGGTGTCACATAAAGGTCTAAAGCCACATTGAGATTCTGGGAGGAAGGTTTTTGCCTCAGGAAGAAGTCTGCTTAGGAGGACTTCTGGATAATCTTGCTAGCTACAAACAACAGCGAGATCCTCCGGAAGTTGCCACATTCATTTAGAGCTTGGGGGATTTCCTCCTTTTCCTCTATATTCTCCAGGAGTGAGTGGAGATGGTTGGTAAGCAGAGGTCCTCCTGCTTTACACACACACACACACACACACACACACACACACACACACACATATACTGGAAATGCCATCCCTCAGTGACCTCCACCACCAAGCACTGGAAAGGTTTGGCAGCCAACTATTGCACCACCCTCGTCATCGCCACCTCCTGCCACCGGCAGCCCCCCACCCACCTCGCGCAGTCCGCCACTTCAACAACATTCAGCCCATAAGAGCCTGCACCAATAGATATAAGAACAGCACCATCACATCTATTGTTAAAATAATAAACAACGCCCGATATATGTACTGTACAGCCCTGTAAATGTATTCAATGCATATTATATCATTATGTCTAAATCAAATGTAAGTCTGTATATTTTCAGCCACCGGCTGCAACTCTATTAATAAACCGTTTATTATTATTATTATTATTATTATTATTATTATTATTATTATTATTATTATTACACACACACACACACACACACACACACACACACACACACACACACACACACACACACACACACACACTGTTCCCTCTTCCCACTCCCCAGCTATCGTGCGCAAAGAAATTTGTATTCCTTTTTCGTGCTTGTCCTAATGAATATTATTTATTTTACTTTTTTGCTCAGTATGAATGTAGTATTGTGTATACAAATAAATGAGTGAAAAAAAAATGAAGACAGTTACGTACAGGTATATCTACCCGAAATTTTAAGTATAAATCTAACCATAACACTTCACAGTTCAGCCTGGTAGTTTGAGGAATGTGGCTACTGATGAGTCAAACTTGGCAACAATGCTGCCAGTGATGTTAACAAATGCAAATGAAAAGAAAAATATCTGTAAATCTTAATTTTTATCAGGTACAGTATTGTAGATTTAAAGTAGCATACAGGTGGTCCTCTGCTTACAAACGAGTTACGTTCCTGTGGCTTGTTTGTAAGTCCAATTGTTTGTAAGTCCAACTTTACTCTTGTAGACACCAAACATATTGTAAAAAATAAAAAGATTACAGGATATAGATATTTAGTACAGCTATACCCTTTAATACAGCCTTAAAACCTGGCTCACTCTTCTCCTCTTAGGTAATGTTTGTTCTATCTGGAATTTTCTTCAAAATAATCAATTCTCATCCACATTAAACACCTGTTATGGCAGGTAACCACCCCCCCCCCCCTCAGTGATGATGTTTGTATCTCCGAAAGTTTGTAAGTTGAACGTTCTTAAGTAGAGGAGCACCTGTATTCAGTAAACTTCCTCGAATCCGGAATAATTGTGAGGAAGGTCTGTTCGGTTTGGCCAAAATTCTGGGTTGGGCAGGATTCTGTATTGTCTATAGTGCAAAGTGGAAAATTCGAGAAGATGGGGGATTTGCATCTTAAGCTACCTTAGAACACTTAACCTAATGTAATTTTAAGCCTTGGCTCAACACCCTCGGGGTTTTTATATGCCATATGAACTTTTTATTTAGCTGTTTAGGGTTTTAACATTGTGTAAAAAAGTTAATTTTCTTTGGTCTCATACACTCCCACTCTCGGCAGCTTGGTGCTGGCTCTCAGTACTGCTGTATTCAGTGAGTCACCCATCAGTTGGTGTTGCTGGGTGCTCTTATATGTCTGTCTGGCAGCAGTGTTTGCTGTCTCAGCTGTCACACTCAGCTCTATTCAAGCCTCGTGCCCCAAAAATACCTCCATTTGATGGCAACTTGATGGCCTGTAATATACACACACACACACACACACACACACACACACACACACACAACACACACACACACACACACACACACACGCACACACACACACACACACACACACAAACAAACTAATTGAGTTCCCATCATTATATCGTATTATGGTATAATCTATCTTTCTAACACATTTATAACAGATGTCATGGATAAAAGTTTTAGCACTTATTCACTAGTCAAAAGTAATTTTGCTCATGGCTGCAGCCTGATAAAAGCACATAGTACATGTTAATAATAAAGTACTACTGTACTGCACTTATTAATTATTAAATTATCATGAGGCAGTTGAGTCTTAAGGTGATGAAGTGGTAGAGACAGGAGGCGATTTTATGACACCCACAATGCACACGGAGGTTATGTTTTCACTGCTAATTTCATTAACTATACTGTAGGTATTGTACACTATTCATATTTCTTAGACACTTGTACTGCCTCCTCAGAGGCAGCTATTGAGTTACCCTCCTGTGCCACCACAGTGGCACCCCCCTGGCCTACACCAACTTTCCCCCATACTAACTGGATTTTGATTGTTTTCTCTCGGGTTGGGGAGACATGTGTTGGGGTTGGACCCCAGTCTGGTTTGCAGCGGGATTCAGATTAAGCAAGTCCAGGTTAGAGGGAGTTTATTGTATAGTGAATGAGGATCTGCTCTTCATATAACAACATGAAGAAAGACTAGGGGTATGGTAGGCAAGCCCTCGTATGCATGTATTATAACCCCTCAAAAATATATTGTGTATATAGTTTGATCCCTAACTTTTTGCATAAATATTTTATCATAAAAACTTAAACTGTACTCGAGTATATGGTTGATGAATATGTTATTTCCTCATATACTATACCATACAGTACAAATTATTGCAGAATATCAAATATAATGGCCATTGTTTATTGTGGTCACTTTAGAATCATAAGAGCATTTTGAGTTACTTTGGTGCTATATTGCATGTCTAGTATGGACTTCATTCTCATAACACTATATTATTTTTATCATTTAGGATGTTATAAATAAGCTCAAAAGGTGTATAGAGCAAAAGTTTTTACTTACAGGGTATAAATTGTTAAATCTTGTCCACAGAGCATAATAACAGGAATTGGTGACTCGGCAAACACCCATGGTTCTGAAAATGCCAGTGATGGGGACATTTTGCAGCAAGCTTTAAAGAATATTGGGCTTTCTCAACCAAGGGACCAAGCACAGCATAGCAGAGAAGGTGATATACAAATAATACCTTGTTCCCCCCTTCCAGATCTTGACTGATGTTGTTTTTCTAAACATTTTCTAATACAGTGGAGTCAATAATTTGCTAGTTAGGTACCAGAAGACATTGTACATTATCAAATTGTGAATTATAGTCCAATTGATTTAAATGGAAGTGATTAGTTTGGTTTGAAAGGCCAAAGATTATCCATAAACGGTTCCAAAACTGCTTTAACAAACACCAAACATCACACATAATGCATAAAAAAACAGTAATGCATAACTATTGTACAAAAAGTAGTTCTATGTAACATAAAAGCTTCTTCCCTTCTCATAATTTTGTGTAGGTTACACCAATAAGCCAACATAATAATAATAATAATTAACGGTTGATTGAAAAAGTTCTACAGCCCGAAGGCTGAAAATATACATTGGACATAAATGACTTATTACATACATTGACATTAGTGGTTAAACAAAAGCCTTCATTAGAGAAAGGTAAAGGACCGCCTTATGTCAACAAAGAACCAGGAATTAAATACTTCACAATACAGAAACTCATCTTAGGACGATTTTTTTATTTTTATTGATTACAATAGGGGTCTCAGTACGTGAGGGTGCGAGGGTTACGCTCCTGGGATCTCCACGTAACTGCAAATTCCTGTATATTCAGGTCCCCCTGTATTATATACAGTATATGTATAACCCCTTTTTTATACTAAGGTAACCGACACACACTTCTTTATTTTTCTCACTCTCACCACCATGAGCACTGCCACTAATTTTCCCTTTAGAGGTCATGATTGCGGTAAAATCCGACCAGTAAAGAAAAACTTTACGAGCATGAACGCCTGAGACATGTTCATGGAACCTGTAAACGCCTTAGTTCAGGACGTTCAGGTTATGGGCAAGTCGAAGGGAATGATTGAAACCCGTCTTTTGACGCATTCAATATTTATTGATGTGATCAAAACCTGCAGAGGAGAAGGCGTTCATAATATTACAAGGTGATCCATCTGATACATAATTAGTTAGTCTCACACAATTTTATCTTAATCACAATTTATTAAACATACTGACATAACACAAAGTTCATAACATACTGACATAACACAAAGTTCATAACATACTGACATAACACAAAGTTCATAACATACTGACATAACACAAAGTTCATAACATACTGACATAACACAAAGTTCATAACATACTGACATAACACAAAGTTCATAACATACTGACATAACACAAAGTTCATAACATACTGACATAACACAAAGTTCATACAGTGGGGTATGCTATAACGAATCTAGTAATTGGTTCTAGAACCTTGTTCGTTATAGCATTCGTTCGTTATAGGATTAATCCGTTCCAGGCCCCCAAATACAACCACTTAACACTGAAAAATTTCTGTGGAAATTGTAAAAAATACGGTACTTTATCTTACCTTGGTGTTGTTAGCATGCAGGACAGGAGGCAGAGGAGGAGGGGGGAGGAGAGAATTATGGAGAAGAGGTGGAAGGAGAGAAGTCATCTTTCCTAGCCCTCTTTGGTGACTGTCTTACAGGCACTTTGTCTGTTTATTTATAATTTCTTTCTTAGTTTCAAGGGTTATTAGCTTTCTCACTCGCGTTTGACGATTCATTGTTACAATTGTACACTTGTATAACAAAATAGTTAAAAAAAAACACGAATTTCCACATCAAAAGACGAAATTTCATCAAGTTCAGTGGTGCACTGACTACACAATGAACCAATATGGCGCCTGACGCTCTTGCTGTGAGCCGCGGTATAACAATATTCATGCGCCAGACGAAATAGTCCGTATTCATCCGCGTTCGTTGTAGGAGTTGCGTTCGTTATAGCATTCTCAATTTTATAGGTAAAACCGTTCGTTATAGGAATATTCGTAGTAGAATCCGTTCGTTATAGCATACCCCACTGTAACTCTATTAATCTTAGCTTCGCTTCACTCTGCATTGTCTTATTATTCCAGGTTAGGCAGAAACGAGTAGGCATAATTATTCAACAATATATCAGTACCGAGGTGTATGTCATCACTTAGGCTGTACTTACAAGTGAGGGTCAATGCAGATCAGTATGGTGTTCCAAGAGAAAACAGTATTGCGTAAATCGTCCCAGCACAAATTCTCGGACAGAAGGCTGGTCTTCACAGCATCACTAGAGAGGGCGATCTGTTTCATGGAGGGGCAGGCAGCCACCGCCACCAGTCTAAGACAATCCACTCGGCAGAACCAGGACTTGTCTGTAAACACTTCTACATCTGGCGAGGTCACAGGTCGAAAGATTTCATGGCATCACACGTCAGCACTGTAACTGAAGCCAGCGGCGATAACAGAACCAGTGCAAGAGAGAGAAGGATGCCTTTGCAATAATTTAACCTATGGTTCCATACAAGCACCTTAAAAGTACAAACACACACAAATATTAAACCTACAATACCATATGAACACTTTAAATGTACTGTACAAAGAAATATACTCTGGGTGATGCAACACAGTTCAGCCAGGCAGTCACCCAGCTGACTCAGATATGTGTGTGGCTGCTGCTGTGCTGCACTGTGTGCATGCCTTGATATCACATAGAGAGAGGGAGTGTGTGGTTAGATGGCGAGTTGGTGACACAGTTACAGCTCACTGCCTTAATACATACTGTGCGTTAACTTCCTACACATACACACCCACGCTCTTCATTTTTCTTATTTTATAGTATATTTTCTTTATTTCTAAGCCACATTAGAGTATTGTAATGATAGCCGGCACTCGGCTGTGAATTATGAATATTTGACTGCAAAATTTAATATTAGTACTGTAATAGAAGTGCCCACAAATTTAAGAGGACAAATTTGTTTTTCGTGAATTATCGCGACTCCACTGTAATGATAAAATACAATGCACTGTACTTGCAAGGAAATGCTTTATACTTAATAATCAGAAATGTATAATTTATAAGTTAGACATACTTTACATTACTTAAAAAATCATAGAAGTAATAGAAGTATAATTTTCTGTGCAGGCATTCCCCGACTTATGAAAAGGTTTCTTTTTTAAAAAATCTTTCGTAAATTTGTTTTACATAAATCAGACCACATTTTCCCAGTCCCCTATTATTAAAGATGATATACTATACATTCCAATGAAAAGAAACACTTTGGCAAAGCATATTAAAACGTCACAAACATATTTTAATGAAAGCTTTTGGTGTACACAATGATTAATGTCTTATTTTTGGCTTACAATAATAAGCCAACACCAGACATAATAAGTAAAATACGTATAGTACAGTACTACAGTGCAGTGCAGTGCAGTGCAGTACAGTACAGTACAGTACAGTACAGTACAGTATAGTACAGTACAGTACAGTACAGTACAGTACAATTCAGTACAGTAGTAATAGTTTTGTGCCTGTACAGTACTGTGCTTACATGAAACTGGATGAGATTTGATTCAAAATGAACAATATGAAACACTGAGTCAGCATCTATTATTACTGTAATAATACATTGATTTCCATTCTACATTGGAAGATACAGTACTGTACTGTACGTGTTATGTGAAGAAAAAATCCCACTCAATCTCTGATACAATAGTTATTGCATCATCTTAAATTCATGCTGCCTTGTTTATATGGTATGATCACTGCCTTCAGTCAGCTCATGTTACACTTATGCTTTCTCATGTTTTGCTTGCAATATCCACACCTCCAAACTTTTATTCACTTCCAAGTTCTACATTTTCCCTCTTAAGTTTACACCTTTATTGTACAGAATTAGATAATGGGGTTTAAAAATACTGAATTATTTTTTTATTTAATTTTCCACATCTTAAGTGAGAGTGAATGAGGAGAAATTGGATAATGAGACAACTGGCTCAGTAACTGTGCTGGTGGAGATGAATCTACTTGTCCCCAGTGAGTTTGAGGAGTAAGTTATATGCTGATTGTAGGAGATTTATGACACATTGAATGTTTATTTGTAGACTAGCATTGTGAGTGTTAGAAAATAATGAAGGGAGTTAGTGAAATAAGTAAGCACACTGGTAGCAAAAAAGAAAAGTGCATTATTTTAGCATATTCTCATTATTACATGCTGTACTCAGGAAATATTACAAAAATGCCAAAAAAAATTTCATAACATTTGAGTTTCGTAAACCAAACCTTCATGCATTGGGGACTGCCTGTGTGTATTTTTGCTTGTTATGTTGAGTAAGAGAAATATAATAAAATGCATGCCTATTTTTAAACCCATGGGTAAGGAGTAACTGAGGAATGAAAAAGAAATCCTCCATTGCACAAATTCAAAATACAGTTGGTCCTCATATTACGCGGTCCCGCATTCCGCGTTTCACCGTTAACGCGGTGCCTTGCCAGAACCTAACATTCTTACATTCCGCGGTCGCGAACGCCATTACGCGGAGAGTGTCCGGCGCGACGCTATTTTTAGATTTTCCCCACGCACCACGCGCCACCCGCCCGCCCGCCCGCCTGCCTGCCTCTCCCTCCTCCTCCCTCCTCCTCCCTCCGCTTGGGCAAGCGGCGCGGTAAGGTTGCGCAGTGTGTGTCTTTGTTGCGTTATCACTGACGTCATATGACGTATCAGACCTGTGATTGGCCATGCATCCCTACCCTCCTCTGCTGCTAGCTGTAATTGGCTTAAAGTATTAGGACGTGTCCACCCGGGGGAGGGAGGGAGGGAGGAAAGACGATGCTTGACCAAGCCGCGGCAGTTTCATCCCTCAAGGCCACTCCGTGTAAACGCGCATCCATTGTTCCGTAAAATTGACTTTGAGGGATTTGTCAGGGAAGCCCTGACAACTGTAAGTGACAGTGATGATGATTCACCTAGTAATGGTGATTCACCTGAGGGCCAGTAATCTGCCCTCTGCCTCGGAACCAGCCTCCATCCCCGTATGCCGACCCATCTCTTCTACTACCGTAAGTGTTACACAAAATTTTTAGTTTTCTAACCTAACCTTTATTTTTCCTATGTTAACCTTTATCTTTCCTAACCTAACCTCTTCTATATTACTTGTTTTTTCATACCATCATAAAGTTAAGATAAAATTTTTACTACAACATAGTTGTGTGTCGTCAAAAAGTGGAGTTTGGGGATCGGCCTGGACTCCATTTCAATTAACCCCATATGTTATGTTGTTCACTTTACGCGTTCCTCACTTTCCGCGGGACCTTCCGGGTTACATTAACCGCGTAATATGAGGACCAACTGTATTATATATTTTTAAAAATCTTCCGAGTACTATACTTACTTATAAATGAAATGTGGCTGAATTTACTGTTTTCATACAAGAAGAAAGTTACAAGGAGGATGATTGATAAGTACATAATGTTTGCCAGGTATTAAGCTAAAGATTGAAGCTGAAGATGGAGGGCACTTTGAGGACAAATGGCCATCGGACGGACAGATTGACTCTTCTCGGTTAACTGAGTGCAAGAAGGTGCAAGTCATGACGCTCATTGACCGTAATCATGAAAGTGGGATGAGGTAAGTTTTTATTTTACTGTTTTGTTTATTATGTTTGTTCTTAACTGTTCTTGTTGTTTCATATATACAGTACTACCAGGGGCTTTATAAGGCTTAACATATTTATTTTATTTTAAGTAAATCTTTACACATCTTTTAAAGTACTGTATATAGCATGACAATAATTAATGTATTTGGTCCATGAGTCTAAAGTTCATCAAGTTAATTCAGGATTAATAATGATAATGGCAAAATCAATGAGTTTTATGTAGATTTTCTCATCTTTCAGGAGGTACACAGTGCTGGTGAAATTGGTTGGGGATGTAAAATGGCATGTTTGTATGCATAAGGACTGTACTAAAGAATTCAAGAAACCTTCAGATCTCGTACGACACATGAGGACTCACACGAATGATAAGCCATTCAAGGTTAGTTTCTTAAACTGTGGTATTGTTATAGAGCATTACTTATTTAGGGCCTAGTATGTATACTTAGTCTTATAAAGGGCCTCCTGAGTATGTGAGGGTGGGGACATTAATGCTTTAAAATATTAAATGCTGAAGAATTCTTACTGAAAGATGGCTATGAAGTATAATCTATAGTATAGTACAGCATGCCCTAAACATGGAAAACCATTTATTGATGGGAATTATATAAAGGAGGCCTTTCTCAACAGCTCTCAAGTTTTATTTAGTGATTTACCAAACAAACCCAATCATCTCAAGGTTAAAAGACATGCCTGTTGCAGCCAGGACTGTAGAGAGGCACATATCAAACATGGCTACAAATATAAAAGAACAGAAAATTGTTGCATTAACAAATGCAATTGTGTTCAGTATTGCTGTTGATGAGTGTTGATATAAATGACATACCACGTTTGGCTAGTGTCGCCAGGTACAGTGACACTGAGGTACACGAGGAGTTGTGCTGCCTAAGACCTATGCATGGTACTACCAAGGGAGATGACATTGTTAAAACGTTCATTGATCATTTTGAGGAGAGAGAGGTTGATATTAAAAAAAATTATTTGCAGTTACAACGGATGGCGCTCCAGCTATGGTAGGAAAACACAGGGGATTTGCCAAGCTAATTGAGGATAAAATTGAGCACCCCATTCTGAAGTTATACTGCATTATTCATCAAGAAAATCTGTGTGCCAGAATTTCAAATTCTGATGTCAATAAAGTAAGGGCCACTGTGACAAAAATTTTGAATTTTTTGGTTGCACAATCTGCTCTTACATACAGATAATTCAAGCCTTTTCTTGATGAGATGAATAGTGCATTTTTAGACATACCCCTTAACTCCATTGTTTGGTGGTTAAGTTGCGGGATGGTTTTAGAACGGTTCGTGGAATGCTTTGATGAAATCAGGACCTTTCTGAAAGAAAAGGGCCAATTATACTCTGAACTGGAAGATGACCAATGGATAGTGAAACTTATGTTTCTCTCAGACATCACCAAACACCTCAGTGACCTTAATCTTCACCTTCAGGGTGCAGGACAAATAATTATGGATCTGTATGACACTTGAAAAGATTTTGTTGCAAAGCTGGCAATTTACTTGGTGGATATTGAAACTACAACTTTCCTCTACTTCAAGCACCTGAAGGGGTAGTCAGCACATCATCCTGTGAGCTTTACAGAGATTGCAGTGTACATGCAAGAACTGAAGTCAGAGTTCTCTGTCAGATTTCAAGATTTCCAGCACATTGGCCCAATGTTTTCCATTTCAAATAAATCTGAAAGCTATGAGGAGAGTGACTTGGACTTGTCTTTATTTGTGTGGATGGAAATTAGGGATCTGGAGATGCAGCTGATTGATTTTAAGTCGTCTTCAATATGGGCAGTAAAGTTCACGGAACTACTGGGCATCCCTACCAGAGAAATTTGATTGCTTTCTTCTTTTGGATCGACATATTTATGTGAGCAGATATTTTCACACAAAGAATATTCTCAATCCTCATCACAGTCGACTTACAACTGATCACTCCGATAGGTGTGTGCAACTTAAGGTGTCCAGATATACTCCCGACATAACAACGCTGAACAAGGGAAAGCAGGGACAGGGATCACTCTAAAATAGTGAGAGAATTTTTAGTATTTGAATATATATCTTACCATTCATATGTAATTGTGTGTATTTCAAATATGTGTGAAAGCTTTATTTATCAATATATACATGTCAATAATTTGCATATTGAAAATTATAGTTGGTACGCAGGGCACTAGAAATGTTAAAAACTGGCACAGTGTGTTCAGAGGGTTGCCAACCCCTGGGACTCTGGAGGATCCAGCGGTAACACATGCTTTCAGAGAGCAGCTCGAATAAGGACTGATAAACAACTCAACAGCAAACAATGCAAATCCCAGTGCCGAATGGTATATTCTCGACACTGTCATGACAAAAACCTTCTGAGAGACCCTTGGCCAGATCAAAAGAATACACCAAGACTGGTTAATGAAAATGACTCGGCAGTCAATGTACTCATCGATGATAAACGTGGTGCTTTAACTGACTGGCAGAACAGCCCTCAGTCTCTGACCAAAGCTGATACCTTCCGTAAGAAGAAAGCGGCGGCCCAGCATAAACTTCACAATCTAAATAACGATTGGTTTAAAAATAAAGCATGTGAAACAAAATAATTTGCAGATCAGCACAAGATGTGCGAATTTTCAATTCCACAAAAAAAGATTTATGGGCTAATCACTTGTGGCGCAGCCCCCCCTCTGCTCATCCAACGGTAACTCCATAATTAAAGACGATGAAGGCATCCTTCAGCACTGGAAAGAGCACTACCATTCACTGCTCAACCGAAACACCGTTGTAGATATCCTGACTACCCAGCAGGTCCCTCAGCATCCAGAGCTGACCCACCATAGCTATCCTCCATCCCTGGATGAGGCTACTGCCATCAAACCAATGATGGAATCTCAGCTGAGGCTTATAAAGCAGGAGGACCTCTGCTTACCAGCTGTCTCCACTCTCTCCTGGAGAATATATGGGAAAAGGGGGAAATCCCCCAAGCTCTTAAAGACGCCTCCATCGTCAATATTTATAAGAACAAGGGAGACCGGTCAGACTGTGGCAACTACCAAGGAATCTCGCTGCTGTACATAGCTGGCAAGATTATTGCCCGAGTCCTCCTAAACAGACTTCGTCCTGAGGCGGAAAACGTCCTCCCAGAATCCCAATGTGGCTTTAGACCATCACGTGGCACCACTAACATGATCTTTGCTTTCCGTCAGATACAGGAAAAGTGCAGAGAATAGCGTCGTAACCTGTACATGACATTCATTGACCTAACCATGGCCTTTGACTCGGTCAACAGGGAAGCCCTCTGGTGGACCCTCAGCCGTTTCGGCTGCCCACCAAAAATCATTGCCATTGTGAGGCAACTCCACGATGGCAAGAATGGCAGTGTCCTGCACAATGGCACCCAGTCAGAGTTCTTCCCCATCCAAACGGGGCTTAAAAGTGGGTGTGTACCGGCACCAACTCTCTTTTCCATTTTCTCGGCTGCCTTCTTTATTCGTGCCAGTGCCAATTTAGTTGGCGGGGTGGACATCGAGTACTAGATGAAGGGTCTTTTCAACATAAAACGACTCCAGGCAAGAACAAAGGTGTCGGCAGCTTCCATTACTGAACTTCAGTATGCAGACGACCTCACCCTTGTCGCTCACACTGAACACGACCTACAGGAGATCCTGAACACCTATGCAGATGCGTATGCACACTTCGGCTGAGGAGAATGTACATAAGACTCAGCCACACCTCCACCATCCATCCAGCTTAACGGTACTACCCTCTCTAATGTTATCCACTTTCGGTATTTCGGCTCCCGCCTGTCCACCACTACGGACATCGATGAAGAGATTCAGCATTGGATCAGATGTGCATCTCAAGCCTTTGGTAGACTCCAAAACCATGCCTTCAGCTGTAGGGAGCTGAAATTATCTACAAAGTTACATGTATATCGAGCATTGGTCCACCCGACCCTGCTACATGGCAGTGAGACATGGATCGCATACAGGAGGCACCTCAAGGCACTTGAAAACTTTCACCAACGTAGTCTGCGTTCCATCCTCCGATTTCTCTGGGAAGACAAAAGAGCAAATGCTAGCATTCTTTCTGACACCAACTGTAGAAGCATTGAGGCTACCATTATCCATGAACAACTACGCTGGACTGGCCATGTTACCCGCATGGTCGACAGTAGACTGCCAAAGCAGCTACTTTACGGTCACCTAATGAATAATAAATGTAACACCGGCAGGCAACTGAAAATGTAAAAGGATAGTCTTAAGACAAACCTGAAAAAGTGCCAAATCAACCCCTTCACCTGGGAGTCGATTACTCCACACCGTAACGCTTGGAGGAGCACCACACGTGAAGGTGTCAGTACTTTCGAGTTAGCCCGACTGCAAACCGAGGCAGACAAGTGCCAACACCAGAAATATGCTGCCACCGCCCCTCCTGCAATCGATGCAGCCCTCCACATTTGCAACTCATGTGAATGACTCTGCCAGTCCCCTATCGGCCTATTTAGTCATCTCAAAACTCACCAATTAAGGTGACATCCCTAATAACTCATATCATTGTATCATAGCTGGATGATCGTCATACTCGATTCCAAGTGACAGCAAAGTGGTAGTAATGGTAGTGTGTGTGTGTGTAGTGGGGTGTGTGGATTGCATCCGTTGTTACTGAAAGCCATTAAATTGAGGGTGTACTGTATATAATTTGTAATTTGACCTCAAAATAAAGGAAACACACATGACATTTATAGCACATTAAAATACAAATATTAAGGGTCATCGAGAGGGTTGGGAGGGGGGTGCTAATTAGTGACTTCCGAGTGCACAGTGATCCCCCTACCCTCCCTACCCCCTCCCCCTCCCCTCCCCCTCCCCTACCCCCTACCCCCTCCCCTACCCCCTACCCCCGAAAAAAAAAATTGGTAACGGTCCAAATTGTTCTGACTTTCGAGGGTTTACTGTATATTCATATAACTCTGTTTTATCTTTCTTGCTCTTCCACTTATAAGGAGAAGGAAGAAACTATTACAGAAGACTAGTAAAAAAAAGTATATTTGGACTTAATGCTTCAGTACCTGCTACTATCCTACCTCTTGTGTACTTCATTGTTATTTGTGTGGTTGTCAAATTAAACTTGGTGGTGATCTCTAATAAAGGTATATTTTATAAAATTCTTAAAAGTGCATATGAACAGATTTTGTTTTATCTGACAAAAATTCCTTTATTCGACATCATTTCTGACAGCTGAGGAAATATTCAAACATTCATATTATTTCTACTCCTCCAGCCCCTATCCCCGGGTGGCCTGAATCAAGAGCAACATTTACTGATGTTAACTGAGGTACATTAAGCTGAGTGAAGGGCATTTTGTAAACCTGTGTGTAATTATTTCTTAGATTATTCCTGCTTGTGTTCTCTCCTACAGTGTAATAAGTGTTTCCGAGCCTTTTCGGTGAAGTCGACGTTGATGGCCCACATGAAGACCCACTTGGCTGTGAAGGAGCACACATGCAAGCAATGTGATAAGAAGTTTGCTACAACAACATCCCTAAAGGTCCATTCATGGTATGTTATCGTTATTTTACAATTTAATTTACCTCTATAATAGGAAATAAGAACAATATTTTGATTGCATTGAGCATTGTGACAAACATACCCTTATCTCACTTCTCTTTTGCACATTAATAATAATAAATAGTTTGTTAACTGAAGGGATGTGGCTGCCAAGTTCTTACAAGGTACACCTACTGTCCTACGGGTCACTGGTTTGCACCCAGGGTACCCTCAACCCACCTACCTGTATGGATACCTGACTTTACAGGTGGGGAAGTGAAGTTTGTTGATTGCATTGCCCACAACATTGTCCTTTTTCATACTACCCTGTAAAGGCTTAGTCTTCACTTTGTTATATCCACCCTACCCTTCACAGATTGGCAGGCCTATGGGACCCACTTTTACCAAACTTTTAGAAAATATCGGCTTATTCATTTGTACACTACTGTTACTCATGGTGCAATTATCCTTTTAACCATTGCTCTTTAGATTATAACCAGCCTTTGAATTTGCTTTTAAATATTAAAATGCTTTATTTTTCAGTAATATACAGTATGGAGAGATTGTCATCATATCTCGGAATATTGCGAGTTATTACACATTAGGTTTTCTTAGCAGTGACAATGCAGGTATAACATTCGAATAGTGACCATCGTAAAACTGATCTTTAGCCTTTGTATAGCAGTATAATGGTTATTGCCTGTATAATATAAAACTATAAAAAGGAAAAAGAAAATTTATGAACATGAGTGTGAACATTATTCTGTGTGGAAAGTGAACATATGTATGGATGGGTCATGCTCTCCCCAATGTGACGTCACGGCATAGCAGCCACACGTCTCTCAATTCAGCTGGATGGCTGAACTCCTTCACTCTTGGCGTGACCTGTAGAGTGGTTTAAAGTTGAAAGGAACTATTTTTTTGTACTGTACATAAAATATGTGATAGTGTTTTTTGATGTGCTATATAATCTTTTCAGTGTTTATTATAAAAAATTTTGCTCATTTTTTGGCATATGTAAAATACAGTTTCCAACCCCTCAATAGAACCTATTCCCTTTTACTCATGTATAAATCTACCTATGACAATGAAGTTCCTGAGAACCAAGTGGATTTCCTGAACATATCCACTTCATTGCCAGAGGTATACTGTACACATTCACATCATCCACTTTATCTCACTACACAAGGCCGTACATGTGACATACATACGTACATTGGGACTTGAGAACCTTAAAAAGTCTTCTTTGCAGTTCTGAAAGCTTCTAAAATCTAGAACAATACTTACATCTATTAGCAATTTAAATAATAAAACAACCGAATTTACTGAAAGTATATCTTAAGTATGATTATTTTACTTGAACTAATTTATAATGAGCTTAAATTAGACAATCTGTGTGAGTGTAATATGCTGGCTATTGCATTGAACAGTTGTGCTTCCCTGCTGGTATGGACATCTGATTAATGGATTCCTTCTAAGTAATTACAACACTGTGGCTTAATTAGTTCAGAACTCAGGGTATTTACTGTATTATGGAGTTGAAGAGAAGTCAAGATTTGTATTACATAATGATATATAATAGGGTTTGGGTTAAAACTGTTTCTTGTCCTTACTTTAAACTTTCAAAGGTATGTTCAAGTGTATTTATTGCTTAATTGATATTAATCTTGATATGATATTTATAGCTTTGGTTTATAATAGGAACACACAAAAAGAAGTTAATGTACTGTTTTGACAATTTTTTATAATTGCTTTTTACTTTATATTGTAAAGATTAAAGTTCACATTTTTTATACAGTATAGTGTACAGTCTCTCCTCGACTTGTGATGGGGTTCTGTCCCGACGACCAGATCGTAAGTCGAATTGGTCTAAGTTGAAAAGGCTAAAATAATACATAGAAATTCTAAAATGGGTGTCTCTTTTTCTTCTCAGCACCATGAGAACTCTCACTTTTATGCTTGCCAGCCATTTTAAAGGGAATTACAAACAAAAATTTTGACAGTACACAGCACGATCACCAACGCCAGGACTCGAAAATACGTAATTTGAAAAATATTTTATACGACCACTGCGGTTGTATGTCCGGGTTGTCATAAGTCGAGTATGTCGTAAGTCGAGGAGTACCTATATACTGTATACCGTATTTTATCTGCGGCCTCATGTTCCTGGTTATTTAATCATTACCTGCATCTCACTTGATATTATATGCACCACATAATTTATATACTGTATCTACAAAACTACAGATGAAGCAAAATTATTGAATAATTCTGTAATTCCCGGTTTTATCTCTCTGTTACATACAAAATACAGAAGTAAACATATCTGATTGTAGTGTAACTTTATGCAGATTTTCTCCATTTGATAAATATAGTACTACAATGTTTGTTTACTCTTAACAGGTTACACACTGGTCAAAAGCCATACCAATGTTCGCAGTGCCACAAGGTATTCCGCACCGTATCACAACGTAAGGCACATATGTTGTCTCACCAGCACTCATCCCATCGTCAGTCTCTACGTAGAAAGTCCATACCACTGCCAGATATCCCTCTTCAAGAGCCTATACTTATTACTACTGAAGGTTACTTTCTACACTTATTTCTTTATTTATGCATACAATGAACCCTCGAAGATCCGGACTAAAAGGGGGGACCACCTTTCTGGAAAAGCCGATTGTACAAATCTTCCGGCGAATGTACAAAATATATAAAAACTATAAATAATGATATAAAAAACACCCAAAATACAGTACATATTATCCTGACCACTGGGGTTAGTTATACCAATAACCTTTTACATTCATTCATAATTTTTACTACATGCTATAGTAAACAAACGGCCTCGAGTTGTCAGCTGTGTCCAGCAGTGTTCGAAGAATCTTGAATGAGACTGTACAACATTAAAGGACTAAAATGTTTATCTTTTTTTGCAAAATATGTAAAGTCTATAGTACTCAAATTATTTGTTATCTTACAAGAATTCCTCCAATGCAAGTTATATTCTGCTAAGTTTTGTCTGTGAAATTTTATAAGCTAAAAACTTTAAGCCTAAAACCACCAAACCCTGGCTGGGAAGATGGAGGAGAGGGAGGGAGGGGGAGGTGATTTGATGTAATGTGTTTGACAGCTGGTGCTGAAGGTCGAGTGCATATTTATTTATCTGTCCTTTAAAGGGCGTTTAAGTTTTTTGCTTATAAAATGTCAATGAACTGACCTGGGAGAATATAATTTAGATTGCTGGAATTCTTATAAGATAGTGATTAATTTGAATATACACATGCTATAGTTTTCATTAGACATAAAAATTTTAGTAATTATTTAGCACATTTGATTACAGTACAGGTTTGCCCTCAGGACAATTATTTCTTTGACTTTTTCACAATGTTTATTTAGGATAGTGTGTGCATGTAAATGAGTAAAAATAAGTAAATACAGTTATGTATATCTACCCAAAAATACAAGTTGAAAAACTTGTACTAAAATGTACAACACTAATGACTATAATTTTTATCTCTTCTGCAAATATATATGATGTCTATATTCAAATTATTCGTTGTCTTGCAAGGATACCAGCAGTGCAAATTATATTCTTCTAATTTTAATCTGACATTTTTTGAGATAAAAACTTTAACCCTAAAACTACCTTCACCCTGTTTTGGGAATGCTTGTTAGGGAGGCTTCTTAGCCCAGAGCCCCAATTTTTTTGGTCCGAATCTTCCAAAATCCAGATTTACCAGATCCAGATCTTTGAGGGTTTACCGTACTCTATTACATATTTGGTTGTATATTGTACTTAAACTTACAGCGGTGTGCAAGCTTTTATGTTACTTTAGGGAGTTTCTTGTGAGTTTTGTATTCTGGTCTGGGTGTATCTAATTATTGGAGAATAATTATATTGTCAAGACAATTTATAGTTTTGGGGTCTGACTTTATTTCTCTTAGTGACAACAACTTTGGTGCTTTCTTCACAGGACCTGTTAAACAACAGTCTCGACACAGTCAGATCTATCCAAGTGAGACCGGAGAGGCACCACCTGACAGACCCCACAAGTGTCACTACTGTCTGGCAGCCTTTAAGAAGTCATCCCATCTGAAACAGCATGAGAGAACACATACTGGCGAGAGGCCTTTCAAGTGTGATAGTTGTAATAAGTAAGTTTAATATTGGTGTAAATGATTTTTTGTGTCTGCTTTCCATCACTTAACTTTTACATTCAGATTCTTTAAGGCAGCACTGCTTTACAATTTTGGTTGTCATGGTCTTCAAGATAGTTTTTATATTCGTAATGAGAAAGTTTTGAAATATATAAACAGCATCGGGATTCATTTGATTCAATGAGTGTATTCTTTTTCCCTTTTGATTGCCTTGTGTGTACAGCATGCCCTTACAATTCGCAGCCTTTGATTATTCGCGGATGACAACGTGGATGTACTCAAGAATGTCTGTGGGTAGTTTTAAAGTTGGGGGCATTTTCATGGCATCCCAAGTGGCTGGGCCATACACGCTTACTCCACCTTAGTCTGGGATAAACATTTGTCCGTTTCACTTGTGTGCTACTCTGCACTCTTAACTGTGCTCTTTGTGCTTGTGATGGCTCCCAAAGCCCTCAACCACCTTCATCCAGTCGCGAGAAGGCGCCCAAACAATTGAAGAGAGAAAAGAAGGTCATGGATTTTACCATACATATGCCTGGCTATGCTTGGCAATGTATGCCTGGCAATGGGAGTGTGTGACTGTTACTTAGCGAGTCGTCTGCAGTTGTAACTCCTCACTCCCTGCCATATTTCACTGGATTTACTGTTTTCATAAGTGTTTACTGATAGAATAGTGTTTAATAGTGATTAATCATGGCATTGTAGTGAGGTTAGCTCTTCAATGTAGCCACCAGGCTACTGGGCCAAGATGCGAGATGTTATGGTTTCTTCAACTTGTATTTTCGGGTAGTTATAAGTAACTTTCTTCGTTTATTTTTACTCAGTTAGATGCACACACCATCCTAAATACGTATTGTGAAAAAAAGTAAAAGAAATAATTGTCTTAAGGGCAAACACATAATGGGAGGAGAGCACAGAGTGTAGCTGGTGGGGAGCGTTGCTAGGGAATCGGCCTCCCAACTGATTTTCGTTACTATGGTCGAGCAGGTAGTGTATGCAAATGGCGACCGTGTTAAACTTTCATTTGGCTTTTATGTACTGGTTTGGCAAGAGTATTTTTTGGTACGTACTATTTTTATTTATTCCTCACATTTCTTGGTACTATAAATATTATTTTAAGAAAACTATGGCTGTGAGGTATTATGGTTGTTTTTCAACTCGTATTTTCGAGTAGATATACTTAACTTTCTTCATTTATTTTTAATCATTTACATGCACACACCATTCTATATACATAGTGAAAAAGAGTACTGTACAGTATTACACCGCAATTACCGACATCCTTCATGTTGGGTTGGCTAGATGGCTACGAAAGAAATTTTGTAAGTTTGATCTACTTGGACCATTATTATTTATTATATACATAAATGACATAGATATCGGTGCAGACAGCAACATAAGTAAATTTGCTGATGACACTAAAATAAGGCATGTAATTAAATCTGAGGAGGACTCTGCAAAACTATAGGAAGATCTAAGCAAATTTTTCGAATGGTCTGAAAAATGGCAGATGAAATTCATTGTGGACAAATGTAAAGCACTCAGTATAGGAGATGTAAACAAGGAAACCAGATACCAGATGAACAACGATGTTATTGAGAAATCCGACTGTGAGAAAGATTTAGGAGTTATGATAAGTAGGACTCTTAAGCCAAGTAAACATTGTGTATTTGTTCAAAACAAGGCTAATAAAGTACTTGGGCTCATACAAAGGAGTGTTAGTTACATGACTAGCGAGGTCATCCTATAACTATATCTTGCGCTTGTGAGACCTCACTTGGATTACGCAGTTCAATTCTGGTCACCGTATTACAGAATGGGTATAGAATCCTTGGAAAGAATTCAGAGGAGAATGACAAGGCTAATCCTGGGCATTAGGAACCTTGAGTACAGAGACAGGTTAAAGCATCTTAATTTGCACTCCCTTGAGAGATGTACAGTAGAGTGAGGGGCGATATGATAGAGGTGTATAAATGGATGTCAGGGCTGAACAAAGGGGACATTACAAAGGTACTCAAGCTATCCCACTTGGAACGAACTCGTAACAATGGCTTTAAATTAGACAAATTTAGATTTAGGCGCGAAATAGGTAAACATTGGTTTGGAAATAGAGAAGTGGAAGAGTGGAACAAGTTACCAAATATCATCATCAACTCGAATATGCTGGATAGCTTCAAACATAGGTTGGATGGATATATGAGCAATAGCGGTTGGGTGTAAATGGGACTGACCAGTATGGGCCAATCAGCCCACTGCAGTTTCCTCCATTCTTATCAACCCAGCTGGAGTTGACTTGAGGAGTGTGTGTCTCTCTGTCTGTCTGTCTGTCTGTCCACATACAAACATATACAGTACAGTATTGGTAAAAGAAATTGTCCTAAGAGCAAACACATAAAGGGAATACAGTTTTCCCTCGATTAACGAGCACATTTGGTTCCATTGAGTCAGTCGTTAACTGAAAATTTCGTTAACTGAATATTATTTCAATGGGATATTGGGTAATTGGTTCCAACTCACAGAAAAAGGTACATACAAAGTACTGTATACTGGTAATAGAATTAACAAAACATTAAATATAAACAAAATACAGTACTGTACTGTACAGTATACTGTACAATAATAAATAAATAACAATAGTTTACTGTATTTTAACTTACTTTGAGGTGTGTATGTCGTATTCTCTGTGGCTTTGTTTACATAGCAAACAGCTGATTGTAGACGCAGTCGATGATGACATGCCATATTCTTTACAGAGTGCATTGGTTCTAAAGCCTTCTTTGTATTTCTTAATCATTTTTGCACTCTATGTTATCAATATGTTAACTGAATTTCAGAATGACCAATAATTTTAATGTAAAAATGCAAAAATATTCAAGAGACCAACAAACTGGATGTTCACTCCACTGTAAACAAAGTTAAACCGAGAAGTGTTGTTGGGTGATTCAATCAGCTGATGGGCGCACAGCCAAAGAAAATGTCAAAAGTGGCATCCCCATAGTGGAGGGGTTAATATTATTTAATTAAAACATCATCCAAGCAGATGCAAATCCTGGGTTAAATATTGAACTGTTGATGCTTTTGTTGTAAATTATTGTGCAGTAGTCACATGTCAGTGTTTTCTTTAACCATACCAATGCTTGCTTAGTTTTGGCACAATATGCACCAAATCTTACCTGTGACAGGATCCATACATTTGTTGCAGTTGATATGCTTACTAGTAACGATGTGCTTAAAGAAATTAACAAACTGAAGCCTCATAAATCGCCTGGTCCAGACGAGGTATATGCTAGAATATTAAAAGAATGTAGAGATGAGTTGAGTAATCCATTAGCAGTTTTATTTAATAAGTCATTAGAATCGGGCCTAGTGCCAGAAGCTTGGAAACTTGCAAATGTAGTTCCGATTTTCAAAAAAGGTGATAAATCAATTGCATCAAATTACCGTCCCATTAGTCTCACGTCAATCATAGGCAAGTTGCTAGAGTCAATTATTGCTACGAAAATCAGAAGCCACCTTGAAACATTCAACTTAATTCATTCTTCTCAGCACGGGTTCACCCAGGGACGTTCTTGTCTCACAAATTTGCTTAGCTTTTTCTCAGAAGTATATGAAGCGGTAGATAATGATAAGTCATATGATATAATTTATTTAGATTTCAGTAAAGCATTCGATAGAGTCCCTCATGAGAGATTGATAAGGAAGGTAGAAGCACATGGAATAGGTGGATCATTATTAAAATGGATTAGGTCATGGTTAACTGGTAGGAAACAAAGAGTCAGCATAAATGGATTTAAGTCAGACTGGGGTGCGGTCAAAAGCGGAGTTCCCCAGGGATCTGTATTAGGCCCTCTGCTGTTTGTTATATTCATTAATGATCTTGATTTAGGTATAACTAGTAGGATTAGTAAATTTGCAGATGATACCAAAATGGGGAGAGTGATAAATTCAGACAGTGACTTTGAACACCTTCAAAGAGATCTAGATACCTTACATGAGTGGTCAGTAGACTGGCAAATGAATTTTAATACTGATAAATGCAAGGTACTACAGATAGGGAAGACGAATACAAACGTTAAGTATAAACTAGGTAACACGGAAATAGAAAACTCAGATTGTGAAAAAGATCTAGGTGTATTTGTTAGCAACGACTTGAAACCTAGAAAACAATGTATTAGCGTTCGCAACAAGGCAAACAGGATTCTTGGGTTCATATCTAGGAGTGTGAGTAACAGAACTGCTGACGTTATCTTGAAACTTTACCTAGCATTAGTGAGGCCACACATGGATTATGCGGTTCAATTCTGGTGTCCTTATTATAGAATGGACATAGATTCTTTGGAGAGAGTACAAAGAAGAATGACAAAAATGATCCATAATATTAGAAACCTTCCATATGAAGAAAGACTGAAAAGCTTAGGCTTGCATTCATTAGAGAGGCATAGAGTTAGGGGAGATATGATAGAGGTGTTCAAGTGGGTAAGTGGGATTAACAAGGGTAAAATGGAAGATGTTCTGAAGCTCAGTAATAACGAAATAACTAGAACAAATGGCTTTAAATTAGATAAATTCCGATTCAGAAAGGATATAGGCAAGCACTGGTTTAGTAATAGAGTTGTGGATATGTGGAATAGGCTACCGAGTGCTATAGTAGGATCGGGGACGCTAGGGAGCTTCAAGACGAAGTTGGATAGGCACATGGAAGTGCTGGGATGGGTGTGAAAGGGATCTGCCCTGTATGGGCCAGTCGGCCTCCTGCAGTATCCCACTTTCTTATGTTCTTATGTTCTTTGGGAAGCTGAGATGTATAATGAAGAGTAAAACCAGCAGTGGGTAAAACATGATTTATTGGATAGCGATTGTTTTGGAGAGACTTCTTTCATCATCAGGCAATCAAAGACAAGTGAAACAGAGTAGGACACACATTCTCATATTCCTCAATTTGTTACACTTCTCTTTTTTTTCTTTTTTCTTTTTTACAATTTAAAATTATTCCTGTACTGTATGGTACTAAATGTATTTCACTTGATAAGTTTATTATTGTCTTTTAATCTTTGTGTGCACAAAAACTTCTCATTAAAAGTTCAGTATGTTTTGTAGCATTTTATGGCATTTTAAGTGTTTTGAAAAAGCTTGTTTTGTTTTGTTTTTCCCTTGTGGAATGTATCTCATCTTTTATAATGAGAATCTATGGGAAAATGCACTTTGATTTTGGAAAAATTATTTACGAAAGGTTTTCACTTACGTAACCCTCTCGTAAATCAGGTTCTGCCTGTAGTTAGATTTAATTCACCTAATGATTTTTATTTTCTTCAGGCTGTTTAATTCCCTAAGTGTCCTGAAGTCACACTTCAAAACACATAGTGGACAAAGAACTCACAAGTGCCCTACATGTAATGGCCTTTTTGCTACAAGTGGCAGCTTGAGAAGACATCGAACTACCCATTCATCGGTAAGTAATACAATTGCATGTAAATAACCATTCATTGGATTTGGGAATGCATGGGCCTGTTCTTGCAGTTTACAACATCTGTACAACGGCCTTGTGAATTTCGCGATTGCTTTGTTCTGGGGACCCCATGTGGAACTTGTGATATAAGTTTACATGTTAAATGTATTTGTTTGTTCTGGCTCTTGTGCCAAATTTGCATTTTTTTGGCACTTTCAACCACTTCATTCCCTCAATTTCAACTAGAAAACAATGCCCTAATGTGACTGAAATTAAGAAAATATAATATAAAAGTATAAAATAAGAAAAATAATGAGTGGAAAAGAATTACCTACAGTGTGTGTAGGGAAGTACAGTAGGTAGGTATGGTAGTTGAGGGTGAAATGACTCGGCAAAAGTTCCACCTCTGGGAGACTTCTGTCAACCCAAACCCATTAAAATGACACTACACTCTATAATTTCACCATAATTCCCAAATTATTTAGGTCCATTTGGTGCTGGGTTAATAAAACATTTAAAAAAAAATCACTCAACCCAGAGGAGTTACTCTATCTTTATTAAGTTCCTGGTGAAATGTTTACAGTGACAAACAGGCAGCTAAATGAAATAATAATAATAAAAATTCCTCCAAAGTCACCTAGAATCATAAGTTTGAATACCGTGCATAATGGTGATCAGCTGCCATATTTATTGCTATGATAAGAAATAAAATCTATACATAGCATATCATAAAATACATTAGCACATATTTTATGTACAAAAAATAGCTCCTTCCACACACAAACCATCCTTTGGGCAACATAACACAGTTCAGGCATCGCCCAGCTGACTCACAAACTTGTGGCTGCAGCGCTGGCCGTGTATGCTCTGACATCACAGGAGAAGGGAGTGCAGCCATGCAGTTATAGCCCAATAACCCACGGTCTCCACAGATATTCACTTCCCACATATGCATGCCCGTGCTCTTAATTTTTCTTATTTTTTAGTTATAGTTTTTTATTATATTTTCTTTATTTATAAGCCACATTAGATTACAGTATTGTAATGAATTTTCCACAACTTATATAGTTTACTTACAAGTAAACAATATATGAGGCAGCTGGGCTGGTGAGTCAGTGACGTAGTTGTAGACCACCACCTCCACACACATTCACTTCCTACACATACACACCCATGCTCTTCATATTTCCTATTTTATAGTTTTATATTACATTTTCTTTATTTCTAAGCCACATTAGAGTACTGTTCAGTATTGTAATGATTTTTCAAATTTTATATAGTTTCATTACATGTAACAATAAACGTGGCAACTAGGCTGGTAAGTCGGCAACACAGTTTAAGCCCACCACTTCCATACATGTTCAGTCCCACTGACAGAAATTTCAAATTTGTCTGATTTGTAAAATTTCAGGTCAAATTTGTCATATTTTTTCCACTAGTTTATAGTAATTCTAAGCTTTATTTATCATATTATGTTGACACATACACAAATTTAATACTAATTTTAAAGTTTATTTAAAAAAAAATGTTATGTGTGTAAAATCAAAGTTTATTTAGGTAACCTGCAATATAATCGGTCAAAAAAATGAAAAATTGTCTAATTTTCTCTCAGATTTGTCTGTGAGTAGATCCCAGACCAGGAATTTCTGTCATTGAGCATTCAGTTCTCACAAATACACACCCATGCTCTTCATTTTTCTTATTTCATAGTTTTATATTACAGTATACTGCATTTTTATTATTTCTAAGCCACATTGTTTATATAGAGTGGAATAAGTGTTAAAGACGTCCTTTTTTTTATTGAGACGCGAATTTGCGTGGTTAGCCTGTAGCACTGTGCATTTTAGGATTTATTGGGGACCCTAAGAGTGTTTATTACAGTCTTGTGTTGCCAAACTATATTTTATATAACGAAGAAGTCAATATATCACAGAATATTATTTAATTTATAATTTAAGCAAGGTTTAGACAAAAACTGATAGGTAGAAGATACAAAACACATTTTATTAGTACAGGGAGCATGAAACTAAGGAGGAAGGTGTGTGGCTGTTATGAGGTAGGGAATTTAGGGGTCTGTGTGAAACTCAAGAATCATGCAGTTTGAGTTGCATGAAAGTTGCAAGGCCACTGTACACCAATTCCTCCATTAATGTTGTTTCAGTCAATGTCGTTTTGTTATAACATCATTAATGATTAAAATAAACATGTATGAAAATGATAAATTTACGACAATTTTAAAAAATTGGGCACAAAGGTGCTCAGCGCCTGATTGTGATAACAGCTGGCTGTGTAAGCGACCAGTGTGGGCACCATATTTGTTTGTTATTGTTTGGTGGTTGGTTGATGCTCTTCCATCATTGACTTATAATCCAATTATAAATTTATTTGAGCCCTAGAACAATGAGTGCTAATTGTGCATTATGCACCACTACAGCTTGTGGTCACAGAAAGAGGTAAAGTGTTACATTAGAAGTTAAATTAGATGTGGTAAAGAAATTTGAAGAAGGATAGTGAGCTGTGGGTATAGCAAGAGCTGTCGGTTTGCAGCCTACACCTGTAGGTAAGAAAAATTTTTGGAAATGCAGAAAATATCAAATCATGTGCTAAACGTGTTACTCCATTTTCTGCTTCAAAGTTAACTCATAACAGAAGTGGTATTATGGAAAATATGGAAAGAATGCTGAACATGTGGATCAAGGATAAACATCAACAAAACTTTCCATGTTCGTTGCTCTCCATACAGGCAACACCTCTAAGTTTATTTGAAACTTTAAAGCAAGAAGAAGGTGATAGTGCTGAAAGTGAAACATTTGTGGCAAGTTGTGAGAAAATTTTGACCAGAAATGTACGCAAGGAACATAACCCATATTTATATCATTGTGTCACGGTAAAATCGTTTTCACTTAGTCATGGTCTTCAGGAACCTAACAAGAACAGTAATGGAGGAATTAGTGTACACTAATTGCTTTAGATTTTTATGCCTGTATAACCATGTTTTATAAAGTTCTAATTATTCCCCGATTTATAGGTGTACCAATAATTCAGTATACGTATACAGCTGTCTGTTCCTCAGAGCCAAATTTGTGTTGTAGTGGAGCATATTGATGTGCACTTTCTCTACATTCATCTGTCCCACCCTGGTTTGTTAGCTGGACTATACAAAAAGTTTAGAGCATATTTTTATTTTCATTGAATTACCGTATTAGATTTTAAAACTGTATGATAAATTATTTCTTCTTCATCTTTTTCTCAGTGTTTGGGCTTTGACTCTATGATTAGTGGAGACTTGTGATTTATAAACAAAACTGAAGGTAATTTATTTCTTTTCTCTCTCTCTTTTTTTATTTCTTTATTTTTTTTAGGACCGTCCATATATGTGCCCATATTGTCAAAAAACCTTTAAAACCAATACCAACTGTAAGAAGCACATGAAGACACACAAACATGAGCTGGCTATGGAGGCAGTCAGGGCCGCAGGCTCTAATTTACAGGGGGATAACCAACAAGCACTCCTCACCACCAGTCTCTACAGTCAACAGACTGCTACACCAAGCTTACATGACACTGAGGTTATGGTTCCTGATCTGACTGGTATGGCTAGTGTCTTCCAGGAGGGAGATTTCCCTCTGTCAGGTGATCTTCAGCAACAATCACAGCACCACCAACAGGTACAGCAAGAAGATCTGACAGCTACTCAGGTATAGTATTGAAAAATTGTTTCAGTGCAAAAACATACTTGAAAGTTATGTTATATATGTGAAAATGAAGTAGAGTTATAAATTCATAAGAAGGAAAATAGAAAGGAAGGCACAGTGACCATGAATTGATTTTTTTTTCTTAGGGCCATTGTGGCAGCCATAGATTTGCAATTTTGTATAAACAGATTTTTATCAATGAAAAAGGAGAGATTTTTGGTACAGCATGCACTAACATCTCACTAATTTAACCTCCACTAATTCAAACTACAGTATTTTCTTGATTTAACAAACAAATTCGAGCCACCCCTGTTCATTAAATCAAAATTTAGCTAAATCGAGCTTTCTGCCGCTCAGTCTTCGTCCTGCCGCCACCGCCTGTGTTGTTCCTGCTACCTATCGGTCAACTAAGTATACGCTGGAGCACCTTAACTTTTGTCTTTATTCAAGACATCTACAGAGGCAACTAAATGTACGGGGATGGAATGTCAGGTCACTCTTTCTTGGGTGGGGGATTAGTGGTCTCATGACTTAAAGAAGTCTTGAATAAAAATAAAAACTAAAGTATTTTGGGGGAGACATGACCTGGCCTGACCTGACACAAAGTCCATGGAGGTAGGGTGGGGGGATTAGTGGTCTCATATTACAGGGGCCCCCCCAAATTTGCGGGGGTTAGGTTCTGAAAATAGCCGCGAATCACCAAATCCGCGAATAACATTGTTGTCCGGGGGGGGGGGGGTTACATTTCTACTTGTGTTTAAAGAAATGTGTATTCCCTTTATGTGTTTGCCCTTAGGACAATTATTTCTTTTACCTGTATTGTATAATAATAATAATAATAATTAACGGTTTATTTAAAGAAATTGGCAGCCAGAAGGCTGAAAATATACAGTTACAAAATTGGGGAATGGGTTTCGAATTACAAATAATATACAAATAACATAAGTGATATAAATAAGATATATAATAACTAGATGGGGAAAAGCTCAAACTACAGGGCATTACAACATAGTGACAGTGCAAGAAGTAGTATTTACTGGGAGTGAATACACTGGTTTATTACAGGTTATTGATAATTTTTACAATGGTTGGGACTGGGTTGTTCTTATAGCGATCAGTTCGTACACGTATGGGCTGGATGCGGTTGTGGTGTCGAACAGCAATTCTCGGGCTAGGGATCTCGGGTGGTAGTAGGAGCCGGTGTCGAGGATGGTGCAGAAGCTTCTTACCAAATTTGCAGATGAGGTCGTGGTGATGGTCAGTGAGAGTCGAAAGGGTCAGTGTGTTGAGCGCTTCGTGATATGTGGAGTAGGAAGGGGAGAGAATAATCTTGCATGCCCTCTTTTGCACTTTTTCTAGGTATATACAAGTATGTGTGTGTAGACACACACATACAAATAAATAATATTGGGAAAATACTCTCACAAATAATCCGAAACAAATTTATTAAAAATGTGACAGTCTACCCTCAAGTCCGTGCTTTATTACTTTATTAATACAGCACGGACTTGAGGGTAGACTGTCACATTTTTAATAAATTTGTTTCGGATTATTTGTGAGAGTATTTTCCCAATATTATTTATTTGTATGTGTTTTGTGTGTGTGTGTGTGTGACTACACACACACATATATATAATACAGGTAAAGGAAATTACTGTCTCTAGAACGAATGGTCCCCTGTCCCAGCTGTGAAAATGACGGCAACTTTAAAACTACCCATAGACATTTTTGGGTACTTTCGGACTGTCATCTGCAAATAATAAAGGACCACTAAATAAAAATCCGCGAATTTGGGGGCCCCTGTACTGACCTTTTAATGGAATGTCAGGTCACTCTTTTTTGGGTGAGGGATTAGTGGGTCTCATGACCTGAAGATGTCTTGAATAAAGACAAAGGTAAAGTATTTTTAGGGAGATAGTGATATGTATTAGTATAAATGAGCAAAGTTGTATCCCTTCAACATTACATTACATAACATTTTAAAATATAGAGTGAGAAAGCAGTCACATTGATGGCTGGAGATGTGGGAGGCGAACCTTTTTGGGGGAGGGGGGGTAGGGTCGCACGGTTACTTTTCTTCCCCCCTTCCTCACTCAAGCGTGGCAAATTGTGATAGGGAGATGAATTTGATACCATAATGATCCTTAAGAAATTCTCTACAAGATGTTTCCAATATGATATCCTTAAATGACAAGCCAAATAATAAGGTAAAAATAAGTATTTTACTGGTATTAATAAGCTCAAATTATTACTGTAACATATATTTACTAATTAATAAATAACAAATAAACAATACTTTGCCCTGTAAAAATGACTGAGGCAGACAACCTTTTTAGGGGTGCACGGTCAGTTTCTACCAGTCTCTGTACAGAACTAAACAAAGAATAATATTCTGACCACTGGGGTGAGTTATACAGACTTTTCCATTGAAAAAGCCATAATTTTGAGCAACATATTACTTTGCTCACTTTGTACTCAAATCTACTTAGAAATGTACTTAGCTAAAGGACTGAAATTTTTATGTCTTGTGCAAACTATGTGATGTTTATACTCAAATTAATCGATATCTTGCAAGGACCCCAGCAGTGCAAGTTATATTTTGTAAAGTCAAGTCTGTGACATTTTATAAGAGAAAATCTTTAAGCCTAAAACTACCTTCATCTTATAAGATCCTTATCACCCATGGCCATCTCGCCTTCCCTGCTGGCTGCGAGGAGGGGGGAGGGGGAAGTTGGGTGTTGACAACCAGGAGGGGGAGAGGGTCAGGGACTCAGGATTATAAAATACAGGGAGTGTTAAGTATTTTGCTTGTAAAATGTCACTGACATGACTTAGCAGAATATAACTTGCATTGCTGGAATTCTTGCAAGATGGTAATTAATTTGAGTACAAACATCCCATAGTTTGCACTCGACATAAAACTTTTACTAATTAACTTAGTACACTTGAGTACATGTTGTGATAATTTATGTGGCTGCTTTGCAGTTATGGTTGCAGTTGCGAAGCTTCGTGACATCACTACTGTATAATGCGTCTCCATATGCCCTGATTAATTCATTGATCAGTTGTCTAAGTGCAAAAGTAGCCAAATCGAGCCATCATGTATCAATTAATTTTAAAATACAAATTATAAAGTAAAATGTTATAAGACAATGGTTTAGTAGTGCTGTTAATGTGTGTGCTGTGTAATTATCGTGGCACATCACCTCACCTACTGCCTTGTCACCTCACCACCTGACTGACCATCTCGTTAGCACAGCTCGGAGTTTATTATTGTATTATTTTACTTTTTTAGTATTGTATGCATAGTATATTTAAAGAAATACCCGGTATGTGTTTGCACAGTACAGTGACCCCTCCGTTAACGAACTCAATCCGTTCCAGAAGGTCGTTCGTTAACCGAAAAGTTCGTTAACCGAAACCATTGTTTCAATGGGTTTTTGGGTAATTGGTTCCAGCTCACCGAAAATTTCCTAAATTCTACAAAAATGGTAGAAAAGTTCACTTACTTTGAGGTGTGTATGTAGAAGGCTCCTGGATGATGATGATGATGATGATGGGATTTAGAATGGGGGTGGAGGAGAAGGAAGAAGAGAAGGCATTGGGGTGGAAGAGAAGTCACCCCATGGCGCCATTTCACCCATAAAATTTTAGTTCTCTTGGTGTAATTCAAGATTATTTTCTTTAAATCAACACTGCACTGCATTATATATTGTCAATATGTAAAATATATTTCAAAATGACCAATAATTTGCTTGGAAACACAGAAAAAAGCATTTAGTTGAAGAGAGTCTCAAGCAAGATGTTACCTCCAGTGAAAACAGAGAGACTAACTCCTGTTTGCTGTGTTAAGAGGCTGGATGCCGCGCATTAAACTAGTCACTTTACCTTCAATTATGTTCAATAATTGTTAAAATGACTAAAAAATTGAATATTAAACTTTTAAAATTATTGAATAGTATAAACTTCTTGATATTTACTAAAATAGTAAGGAATTTAAGCCCTAGAACCGATTAATGTATTGGCGGACTGATACTAAAGCTGGTTGCCCGGTCAGTGCAAGCGAAAACATGTTGAGGTCGGTTCGTAAGAACTTCGTTAACCGAATTTTTTTCGTTAACTGAATTGAAGATCCTTATGGAAGGCAGTTCGTTAATCGAAATTACGTTAACCGAGGTGTTCGTTAAACGAGGGGTCACTGTAATTATAAATACAGTAGACCCAGAGCAGAAAAATCCGGCATTATCCCAAGCTGTTGGTCTTCCCACCCACGCACCAACCATGTGAGGATGCGGCTAAACATGGTGCAGTCTTTCATAACGCCGGGAGCCGTTGTCCCCAGGCCCAGAGCAAAAAGGTTTGGAGTGATTTTCTCGCTATTTTCTTCGATTTTCCGGTAATTGATTTATATCATTATTTATCGTTTTTATACATTTAGTACATTCGCCGTCGGCTGAAGTAGGCTTTACTGTATCATGTGTCTGAGGTGTCTCCGTAGGTGTGAGCGTATTAATGGAATTAATCTCAATTTAACAAACTAGTTCATTAAATCGAGCGAAAAATAAAGAAAAATGCTCTCCGTTAAATCGAGAATACAGTATACTGTACCAGCAAGTTGTAAATTTTTTTACATGGGTGAAATATCCCAAAGTTTCAAAAAATTTTCTGCCAGTTGAAAGAATTATTTGAAGTTTGTAGTATTTGTACAAATCTACCTATGCAGTTCAAGTGGTCAGCAGGTTGGTTTTGTGTGGGCCTACTAGGATACCAATTCATATATTTTTATCATACTTTTTATATACCTACCTGCTACCAATGCAATCTTTTTCTTTTCTTTTTTTTTAATGTTAACTCCACTCCATTTCTAGTGATGTTTCATTACAGTGTAGCCAGTAACTACCAAATATTTAGTGAAGATTGCAATTTAATGAATATTAATTATGTAACCATTAGTGCTGGCAAAACACAGTACAGGTACCATACTATACTGTACTTATCCATGATGCAACCAACCTAGCAACAAGATGGTGACATACATACCTAGATATTTAGACATTGGTACTGCCAAGGCCTACTGTATGGTACAGTACTGCCAAGGCCTACTGTATGGTACAGTACTGCCAAGGCCTACTGTACAATCAAAGGAAAAGTTGGTTTACAGTTGTATGCAGTGTACTGTACTGTACAGATATTATTAGTGTTAGCATCGCTTCACCAGCACTAGTTTTATGTTATGTAAGAAAAATAATGTTTCATTAGGGTTTACACAACACATTTTGTACTGTACTTCTCCTGAACATCATGAGTCTAGAAAGAGATGTGAATATTACTGTACAACATTAAACCTGGTTGTATACATAAGTACTATTAGTGTTAACAACACTCCAAACACATAAATTATGCATGGCACAAAAAGGGCAATGGGCCACACATTGGCTAATACTGTATTCCATGGATAATTCAAATGGGGTAGAGCCCCAAGGATGTCAAATTAGTGAAGTTCGAGTTTACAGTATTTCAATCCAAAGTTATGGACTAAGGAGTTTTAATTTGGTGTAGTAAACATAACTGATAGAGTATTTAAATAAGACAGGCTTTAAAGAAATGTTTGACAGTGGAATTATGAAATGAAGTATAAATTGGAACATAAGGAGAGTTATTTCAAGGAAGGACTGAGGGAATGGATATGTCTTTCATAATAGTTTATTAATTAGTGTATAGAAGGAACTGCTTGTATAAGGTTTTATGTTATGACAAAATGACACAAATTTTATTGTACAGATAGAGAGAACATGAAATTGTTTTTGATGCTTTAATACTTAGATATTATTTGATCTTCATATCTTCCTAAAAGTCAGTTTTTCATCCACAGGTCATTCCAGCAGCATTTGCACAGGGTGTCAGTGAGAGTGGTTTGACCCTAGCTGACCTCCAGACAGGGGTTGAGCATGGACTAGCTTCTGGAGAGACTGTTATTTTAGGCTCACAACCTGCTACCATCACAACTCATTTAAATGGATCCTCAATACTTCTTCCTCACTCCTCAGGAGGTCAGGGCTCAACTGGCTCCTCCATTCTTCTCCCGCATTCATCCTCAAGTCATGTTACCAGTGCTTCCTCTGTATTTCAAGGGACTAGTAGCACTTCAGTCTTACAGGGCACTCGTGGTTCCTCCATCCTGCTTCCAAACTCATCATGTCAAAGATCAGGTGCATCTGTACCTAACCAATTATCCCAGGATGGTGGGAAAACAACCATTCTTGCTATTCCACATTCTTCAGGTGGTAACGTATTAACCGTCCACCAACCATCTGTGATACAGGGACCTGCCCGAGAGGAATCTGTCAATGTTACCTCAGTAATACAGTCTCAACCTAGCATTATAAATCAGTCGAGTAGTTCCCGTTATTCTACCTCCATAGCATCACGTCAAGCCATACTGGACCACACCCAAGACTTCAATTCCATGGGTGACCCAGGAGGCTTGGAAATGGTGACTTTACCCACATCAATGATTGGTGGGAACTCACAAAGTGCTTATGCCTCAACAGTTATGCAAACAAATCTCCAGCTTGAAGGAAACAGAGGAGCCGTCATCACTAATCCATCAAATCAAGTTAATTCTGGTAAGAATGGTTCTCTTGATTCTATTAATGATATTGTATCCCCCCAAAGAGGACATTCCTTCCAAGTAGTATGTCTCATGCTTACTGTGTCTTTTTGGTTAACAAGATAATTTAGGTAAAGCTCTGTGTTCTGGTCATCACATGTCACACAGTTTACATGGCTGTGAGGCAGACCCCATGAATTAAATAGCTCACCCCTCCTTCCTAAATGTTTTCTTATTCTTCTTTATCATCCTCTTCTTTCTCCGCATCTGTCACTATGATTTTAGATCTCAAGAGGTCTTTTTATTTAATGTGCTTAAAACATAGAGAATACTGTTTCTACACTTAATACAGTTTGTAACCGGTGTATGTAATAAAAAAATTGACGGGAGAGGATATTATAAGCGGTCTTATTTTTTATTTTAAGATTTAAGGTAAGACAGCTGGAAATGAACACACACACACACACACATATACTACTACTACTTTTTTTGTTTTTAAACTGTGGCCTCCAGCCTCCCCCAATAGCCACACCTTTGCCGTCATTTTATTACCTTAATATTAAATATCCTAATACATGAGTAGCTATCCTAGCTGTGTTGAATTAGTTGAGCTGCAGATCTATGCGGCATTCAGTGACTATAGCCTCATAGTCAATATCTGCAGTTGTTGTCGGCTTTGGAGCCGAAGCTCTCATTCCCCTGATGCAGAGCAAAGCCGACCTAAGGAGAGAGAAGGACAGTCGACATCTCATCCAGGCTGTAACATAAATTCTGGGCTGCTGCTTCTGTTCGGAGATCACCTCCGCGAGTCTGGCGTAGAAACATCTTGCACTTGGTCCCATCCCACCAGAGGTTGTGAACACTAGAGGAGTGAAGCTGCCTTGATCAACGTTCTGAATTCTCTCCCCGTATGCCCATATCTTGTCGTTCTCGTTCCTCCTGTGCGCAGCATCGAGAGCTAAGTTCCAGTGACATGCGGCCATGGGATCAAAGATCCTGATGTCGAAAAAGGCTCGCTGTCCCCGCTTCCAGAATCCTCGAGTACTGACGTCAACACGGGCTTCATTGGATGTGTTTGAAGTCCTATGTTGGAAAATCTCACCGTCCAATGGAAGGAGGGTCGGTTCTACCCTGACATCACGGCAGATTTCCTTCAACATATTTGCTGTGAGATCCCTTACCCCGTCATGCTTCATGCATATGAAGCCCCCTTTCTTGCACACCATGGCGTGATCGGCGTCATAGGAATAGCCACACACGCAATGGGAAGGCAAACCTTCCACTGGTCTACCGTACCTTAGAGCATTGGCATCTGTAAATTCTTGTTTATTGAGACTGAAACCATTTGCCCTTATCGGTAACGTAGTTAACCAGTTCGAGGCGCCCACCTCCTGCGCTATAGCTACTTATTTTTTTCAAATTCTCTGATACTTGCAACAACAATTGCTGCAACTTATCCCTTTGGCTGTACTGTCGTTCTGTTGTAATGGACCTTCGAATCTTGTTTACTTCACTGGTATCCACCTCCCCTGTTGCGTTCTGAGCTATTATGTGGTGAAGAGGATAAAAGTAAAGTAAAAAGTAAGAATATCTGTGGGTAGTTTTAATGTTGCCGGCATTTTTGCTGCTGGGACAGGGAGCCATTTGTTCTAGAGACAGTACTTTCCTTTACCTGTATTGTAAATATGTGTGTGTGTGTGTGAAACACATACAAATAAATGATAATTGGAAAACCCTCTCACAATTACTCAGAAACAAATTTATTAAAAATGTGACAGTCTACCCTCAAGTCCGTGTTCTATTAATAAAGTACTGTAATAGAGCACAGACTTGAGGGTAGACTCACATTTTTAATAAAGTTGTTAATGATTATTTGTGAGAGTATTTTCCAATTATTATTTATTTGTACCCGGTATTTGTTTTGTGTGTGTGTGTCTATACACACATATCATAATATAGGTTTTTTTTCATTACTCTGTATTTCCGAGCCAATTTTGTGGTTATCCATAAAAAAAGTGCCATTCATCCTACAGGAGAAACTAACCTGACAAGAGAAGCAGTTGGTGCAGCAGGTGAAGATTTAGCAATTGGCCTGGTAGAGAGTGATGACGACAGTCGTGTTGTTGCTACCCATTCTACTTCGGCAGGTGGTGCTGTTGATGCTACTCCAACAACATTACTTGAGGCTAACTTTGACCATCAAGGATTCTCTGATGGTTTTACTCTACATGTTCCTGTGAGTTATTTCTTCACCTTGAACTTCAGTATTGATAGATTTAGTGAAAGAAGAATCTTCCATTGCCCTGTACACCTTTACGAACTTTTATTTTAGTTAAGTTTTTTAATCTTTGGTCTTAAATTAATATAGTACAGTACAATGCAGGATTATTATACATAGAATCATATACAATACAGGAATACCCTGGTTATCACAAGGGATGCATTCTTAAAAGTTATTGTGATCAATGAAACTGCAAATATCAGGGCAATTTTCCCCCCAAAGAATTAATTTAAATAGAGGGGGAATGCATTCCCAGCCAGTAACTTTCACCAACTATTTTTAAATATATAGTACAGGTAAACCTTAATAAATAATGTCTCGTTCAGCGATATTCCACTTTAACGATGATCATGGATTAAGACCATCTCGCTATACAGTATACAGTAAAAAAAAAATCACTTTACGATGTCCATCGAATAACCATTGCTTGGATTTTTTTATCTCTAATACAAATTATGGGTTGTATATACTCCAATTAATCACTGTTTTACAGGGATTTCAGCAATGTAAATTTTATTTTTCTTCATCAAGTCAGTGACATTTTATAAGGAAACAATATTTAACTCTATGCACCACCAAAGGTAATGCCTCTCTGGTTGCACTTGTCAGCTGCGGTAATATCCACCCACACACCGCCAACCCATGCACTACAGACCTATGCTTGGTTCACTGTCAGTCATAACTCCCCTCCATCGCGTAGCTCCACGATTATCGTTCAGCATTGTTGGCTATATGTACATTTTACTTATCACCACCACCACCACCACTCACCACCACCACCACTCACCACCACCACCACTCACCACCACATCTGTAATAACTTCTGCACTCCTTCTTTTCCTTCTCTCTTCCGACCTGATAACTCTATAACCAACTCCCCCCTGATAAACCCAATCTCTTTGGCACCTTTTTCTCCTCTAACTCCACCTTAGACGATTCCAACTCTACCCCTCTTACTCCTGCTCCTCCTACTGAAACTTTGCACTTTCCTATAATCTCCACTTGTTGGGTTGCTGGTGTGTTATCCAGGTTGGATGTGAATAAGGCGCATGGACCAGACGGAATACCCCCTCGTGTTCTGAAGGAGTGTGCTGAAGCTCTGGCCCCTGTGCTTGCTCGCCTCTTTCGCCTTTGCCTCAAAACCCAAACTTTTCCTTCTTCTTGGAAGCATGCCTCAGTTCAGCCCATCCCAAAGAAGGGTGACCATTCCAATCCCTCTAACTATTGCCCCATTGCCCTAACTTCATCCCTCTCTTAAGGTTTTTGAAGCTATCTTAAACTCTCATTTTCTCCGTCACCTTGAACGCCTTTCTCATTTGTCAGATCACCAGTATGACTTTTTCCAGGTGAGATCTACTGGTGATCTGTTCTCCTACTGCACCCATCTTTGGTCATCTTCTCTTAGGGATTATGGGAAAACTTTTGTTGTGGCCCTCAACATTTCCAAAGCATTTGACAGGGTATGGCACAAGTCTTTGCTTTCTAGACTTCCCTCTTATGGTTTCTCTCGCCCACTTTGTTCTCTAATTTCTAGCTTCCTTGAGAACCGATCCATGGCAGTTGTTGTCGAGGGATCGATCTCTCGCTCTTTCTCTACCAATAGTGGTGTCCCACAGGGTTCTGTTCTTTCAACTGGTCTCCTCTTTCTTTTTATCAATGATTTACTTCACACTGCGACTAATTCTATCCATTTTTACGCGGAGTCTACTCTTCCCTCTTCTTCACATTTTTCTCTTCCCACTAATTCTCAAACTCGATCTGTTTCCAGAGCTGATATCATTTCATCTATCAATGCGGATCTGTTCATCATCTCTGAATGGGGAGGTATATACTTGGTTAAATTCAATAGTAATAAAACACAGTATTTACCAATTACACTTTCCAAATTAGATGAACTCCCACCAATCACATTTCAGGATGCAATCATTCTGCCAAATTCTAAAATAAATATGCTAGGCCTCACCATTTCCTCTAATATGTCATGGAAGCCACACATCCACAACATTGCTAAAGCTGCATCCCGAAAGCTGGGAATGCTGTACAGATGCTGTAGCTACTTTCCTCCTAAGCAGTTACTTCAAGTTTATAAGGGATTCATTCCTCCTAACTTGGAGTACCGCTCTCATATCTGGGGTGACTCTTCTGTCCAACTGTTAGATAGGGCAGAATCAAAGGCATTTTGTCTTATTAACTCTCCTCCTTTAGTTGATAACCTCTCTTCCCTTTCTCTTTGCTGCAATGTTGCTTCACTCTCTCTCTCTTTCACAGGTGTACTTTAACGGGCAATGTTCGGTGGATTTGTCATCCTGTGTACCGCCGGCAAGGCCTTGGGCTCGTAACACTCGTCTTACCCACAGTGCCCACCATTTCTTTGTGGATGTCGGTCACACTAGAATAACCCTTTATAGTACATCCTTCTTTCCTCACACAGCCAAACTGTGGAATGCTGTGCCTTCTTCTGTGTTTCCATACTTATGCAATCTGTCTCACTTCAAAAAGATGGTTTTCCAGCATCTTCGGTATGTAGATTAATATAATATTTTTCTTTTCTATTTTTAATTTCTTTTTATTCTTATTTTTTCTCCCCCAGGCCCTGTTGTGGGTCGATGACCTGTGCCCGGGTAGGCATGAAATAGAGTAAAAGAAATTGAATAAAATTATGTATACTGTATCTACTCAAAATTACTAGTTTAAAAATAACCTCAATTTAACTCAGGTTGGCCCAGCAGAGGGAGAGGTAAGGTGATGTAGCTATGGTGCTCGGTGACCTGCCAAGTCCACACACGCACACGTTCATTATGTCGGGCCTTACTTAGGCCTACTTTACGCAATCATATTTGACCTGCGCAGGAGAACGCATTTGATCACATAGGTGTGTTTTTCATGCTTCAGTTCGCCTGCATCTTATAATCACAAGCACTTCCAGCCCCTACCATACTGTAGATGCGCCACAACTGATGTGCGGGAAAAACAATGCTTGTCATACAGGTTGACAACCCTTTATCCGAAATTCCGAAAACCGAAAAGCTCTGAAAACCGGTTTTTTTTACAGGGATTAGCCCATCGGGGCCTGTGGGCAAAAATGTAATAGTAATAATAATTATAATAATAATTATTCATAGTAAATAAAAAATTTAATACAAAATACACCCAAATATAATAATAATGATAACAATAATAATAATAATAAAATATAATAATGAAATTAATAATAATAACAATAATACTGTAATAATAAAATAATAATAATTAAGAAATACAAGACTGAAAAAAAGATAAAAAGTGAGAAACACGACCTAGACCTAAGAATTCTTATTATTCTTATTATTATTATTATTATTATTATTATTATTATTATTATTATTATTATTATTATTATTATTATTATTATTATTATTATTATTACTACAACAACAACAACAACAACAACATTATTATTATTATTTTCGCCCCCCAGGCCCAAATGTGGGTCAGTGACTTGTGCCCAGGTGGGCTAATACACACATAAGAAAAAAAACTAACCATTCTGTAAACCGAAAAATTCCGAATTCCGAAATGCCTCTGGCCCCAAGGATTTCGGATAAGGGATTGTCAGCATGTATGAAGAATTGTAGAATGCTCGGCGTATATTTTGATGCTGTAGTTTGGAAGGACAGGTAAAGATGTGGGGTAAGCGTCTCCCACACATGAATTTTCACACACATTTTCTGTCCCATTGAACTTCATTAATTTCTAAACTGCGCGGGTGTGTATCAACGGAAAAGAAACACTAGTTTGTGAAGCGAGCCTTGTATCAGAATATGAAAGCTGCGACTATGCTTTGCGAATATTGAGTAGGGGTGTTAGAAAATCAATTGCGGATAAGTGGGGTTGCGAATAGCGAGGTATTCCTGACTATGTCATAATTTGAATATTACATTCTCACAAACTAGCTGCATTGTATAGCATTGAAAATCTTATTTGGACTCCACATGTTTTTGTAAAAACACAAGCTGTTTAGTCAACTATTTGTTCTAAAATTAATTTGGCAAGTTGTCTGTGTATTTGTGAATACAGTACAGTACAGTATTTCATGATTTATCCTTTAATCATAGATAACCGAATATTTAATCATAAGTAATTCTTATTTCTATATCTAGGTTGTTCGAGTAACTTTGTGTTTTTTTCTTACAGCCTGGATTAGACTTGTCCAGTTTAGGACAGGGTGGGGATATACCTTCAGCACAACTGGTACAGCTACTTAACACACAAGAACCCATAACACAAGTTTCAGCTATAAAAGTTACCAGTGCTACTACCACTGCTACATCCACGCCACCACCCTCTGACCAAGAACTTGGGCCCCCAGACCCTGTTGTCTCAGTTTCTAAGGTGTATGAGTAAGTGTTGCCATGCACTTTTGATTACCCAATTTCTTAATATTGACTTATTTTTGTGATATCATATGATATAATTTTGTTTTTATTCATCCTAACAGGTGTACTGAATGCAAGAAGACGTTTCTTAAACAGAATCACTTACGATCTCATCGGCGAATTCATAATCAAGATAAGACGTATCAGTGCACAACGTGTAACAAGGTTTGCTCTTCATCTCATGCAGTCAAGGTAGGTATCATAAATGATTTGTTTAGAGATTAGCAACTGTGTTTACAGAAAGCTAAGATTCTTTAATATTTGAACTAAAAGTTGTGTTCTTCATTATATAAAAAGCCATCACATCACTCTTGTGATTTGCAGGAACACCAGCGGCTTCACACACGGATGGCAAATAATCATCATTGTAATAACTGTTCAGAGAAATTCTCAAATCTCAATCAGCTTCTTAAACACATGCAAGTGGAACATTCCAGGTACAGTAAATCCACACATTATAGACTTTTTGTATCAGTTGGTAGTTTTTGGCTTTAATGGAAAAAATTATTACCCCAGGGAGCAACTTGTCTTAATGATGAAATAGTGAAAACTGATGCAAGGAAGAATATAGATTTAGTCATGAAAGCACTGATTAATGGGCAGAACCTTAGGGTTAAGTGTGCTAGAAGAGTGCATGAAGTAGGGGGTTGTTCCTACTCCTTCATAATGATGTGAAATTCAGTTGTTCCAGAATGATGATACCTGTAGACCAAGAAAGAAATCAGTAGACATGTATCCCCCAAGAACCATTATGGGAGTTAAGAAAATTTAATACAGTAATTTATGCACATGTCCCTTGGGGCATAATTTAAAAAATTGTCTCCAAAATCTTGGCTGCCTCCTGGCCTAAAGCAGGCTCTACTGTATAATGAACCACTGCTGGCTTATAGCAGCCTCTATAATGGACCACTACTGGCTTATAGCAGCCTCTGTAATGGACCACTACTGGCTTATAGCAGTTAAAGGGTTCAAATTTAAGATTTTATATGTACAAAATTTGTTAGTATTCAATTCTAACTCCACTTGTTTTTATGTTTATTTTAGTGTTTGGCGGTGCCCTGTGTGTGAACATGTGTTTAAGTCGTCATCAACATTCCAAAGACATATACGTTCCCATAGTATTGATGCCATCAACGATGCCATAAGCAGAACTAAGGTAAATACAGTACTGTACTGTTGTTGTTTGTTTCTTTGGGTAGAGCATTGTCTAAGCTAATTTCACAGTACCAAAGAAGGTACAGTACATAATGTATATTAACTTTTTTACTTCTACCTCCTGCACTTTATCTCCTTTACCCATCTGATGAATTCTTTCGTAAGTTTATAACACCCACATTTGCATTATTATAGATGTACAGTACAATCAGTTCATGAGTTCAGTGCATTTGGAACCCATCAGTAAATGTTCACATACATCTTGAATACTCTTAACTAACCAGTTCATTGAACATCATCCATTTTACTTTTTTTCTTTACTCAATGAGCATAACTAGCATTGTTTCCCTTTGTGATGTGATCCATATCTGAATACAGGTTTAGCACAGTTTGAGTACCAGACACTGAGCTGTATTAGTTTATGCAAACACCGCTGTACACATACAATACAGTCATCCCTTGGTTATAGCACACTTGGTTATCACAATTTTCGCTATCACGCTTCCATCAAAATTTGCACACCTGCCGTTATAGCGCATTTTTCAGGCCCAGAATTTGGTTATCACGCATTTGCCTCCAGGTGTATTGTTATCCCCTTGCTTCACCTACATCTATTGAGGATAAAATCTTTCACCTACAAATTGACAATAACACATTTGCTGTAATCATACATATCTAGTTGCCTCAACAATTGTAACCCCAGTTGCAATTTCAAATTCTGTGTCATTACTAAGGAATAACGAAGTCTTGGGTGCACTCTAAGATTGAGAGAAAACGGAGGACTCAGGCGTCCTGAAGCGAGAGGAAACGGACTCCTATGATGGGGGACTCAAATAAAGAAAGCATAGCTACATGTTTTGTGGACTACAGTATTGAGCGTACCCTTTTCATCACTTTGTAATAAACCTAGCCATGTCTATGTGTGTTTCTGACACTTACCATAAAATTATTTATATCTTTAGGCCAAGAATTTAGTTATCACACAGTTGCCTCCAGGTGTATTGTTACTCCCTTGCTTCACCTACATCTATTGAGAGTAAAATCTTTCACCTACAAATTGACAAAAACACATTTGATGGATGAAAATGGACGGAGGTAACAAAACTTGAAAGCGGTTGTACAAACACAAGCACTCACACATGCCACTCATACTGACAGACTTGACACTCACTTACTTGACAAGTTTACCAACCATAAAGACAGTTGAAGCTTTCAATATCACTCACAATGGATCTTGAATGTTCCAACTATAATCATACATATCTAAGTTGCCTCAACAATTGCAATCCCAGTTGCAATTTCAAATTCTGTGTCATTACTAAGGAATAACGAAGTCTCGGGTGCACTGTAAGATTGAGAGGAAACGGAGGACTCAGGCGTCCTGAAGCAATGAGAAAACGGACTCCTATAACGGGGGACTCAAATAAAAAAAGGATAGCTACAGGTTTTGTGGATTACAGAATTGAGCGTACCCTTTTCCTCACTTTGTAATAAACCTAGCCATGTCGATGTGTGTTTCTGATACTTACCATAACATTATTTATATCTTTAGTGGGTCTAAATGGTCGTAAAATGGGAAAGTTGGGGTTGGGTCTTGGGTGCCTGGAACCAATTGGAATAAATCCCATATGTTCTGTACTTTCGTTAGCGCATTTTTTGTTATCACGCACTCGGTGCGGTCCCAATTAGGCGTGATAATCAAGGGATGACTGTATATTGTAAATACTGTAAATAAAATAATGCACTGTATACTACAGTGGTCCCTCGGTTAACGAGCACAATCCGTTCCAGCAGGTTGCTCGTTAACCGAAAATCTCGTTACCCGAAACCATTGTTTCAATGGGTTTTTGGGTAATTGGTTCCAGCTCACCGAAATTTGCCTAAATTCAACAAAAAAGGTCGAAAATTACACTTACTTTGAAGTGTGTATGTAGAAGGCTCCTGGATGCTGATGTGAATTTGAAGTGGGAGGTGGAGGAGGAGAAGGGAGAAGAGAAGGAAGCGGAGGTGGAGGAGAAGCATTTTACTGCTTCTTGGAAGGTGAGTCACCTTCCAAGAAAATGTCAGGAACCTCTGGACTGACAGATTCTCCACCATGAACATCCTCTCTCCTTCTTAAGTGGAAGGCTGAGGGCTAGCACCATCCTCTCTCCTTCTTGAAGTGGAAGGCTGAGGGATAGCATCTTGTTCCCTCTGCCTTTTACTGAAGAAAGTGTCAATTATGGTCTGTGGGGCATCTCTCCTCCTCACCATTAACTTATGTTTAAAGAAGGAGACCATTGTGTCCTCAACATGACACAAAGTTAGTTCAGATTTTTCCAGATCTGGGTGCTTTGAAGCCAGTTCCCTGAACTTCTCCCAGTGGTAAATCACATCTTTCAACTCTTTAGTTGACATATGGTCATCAGTCATCACTTTCCATTTCCTCCTCACCATTGTCAGCCTCTAACATCTCATCCAGTTGCTTCAAGTCATCAGGAGTAAGTTCCTCCTCATGAGACATCACAAGCTCTTCGACATCATCCTCTTCCACTTCGAGGCCCAATGACTGACCAATGGACACAATCTCCTGGTCCAACTCTGTGTCATCCTGAAATCCCTAAAAATCATGGACTACTGATGGCCACAGTGCTTTCCATGAAGAATTGAGGGATCTAGTGGAGACTTCTTGCCATGATGACACAATCAATTTTACAGCCTCCAGGATGTTGAATTGTGTCTTCCAGAACTGTTTCAGTGTTAGTTCAGGATCATTGGAAGTTGCCTGATGACACCTCCTAAACATTTTCTTCATGTACAACTTCTTGAAGTTGCTGATCACATTCTGGTCCATTGGCTGTATGATTGATGTAGTGTTGGGAGGCAAAAACAACACTTTCACAAAGACAAATTGATACTCCAAAGTTCTGGCAAGTTCAGGGTCATGACCAGGAGCATTATCCATGAGGAGAAGAGCCTTTAAAGAGGAGTTTATTGGTGGTTAGGTAGCTCTTGACAGAAGGGCCAAACACCTCAACAGCCCATTTATTAAAGAGCTGTCTTGTCACCCATGCCTTACGGTTGGACTTCCAATAAACTCCAAGCTTTGCTTTACCACTTTCTGTTGCTTGAACACCCTGGGGTTTTCAGAGTGGTAGACAAGCATAGGCTTCAGTCGGAAATCCCCTGAAGCATTGGCACCAAGCAATAGAGTGAGACGGTCTTTCATGGGTTTATGCCCAGGTAAAGAGGCTTCATCTCTGGTGATGAATGTTCTTTTGGGCATCTTTTTCCAGAAGAGCCCAGTTTCGTCCACATTGAACACTTGCTGTGGAAGATAATTTTCTTCTTCCATCAGTTCTTTAAATTCCACTAAAAACTTTGCTGCCCCTTCCTTATCAGCACTAGCAGCCTCACCATGCCTATTAACACTGAAAATGTCACTTCTTTTCTTAAATTTTTCGAACCAGCCTTTGCTGGCCCGAAAATCTTCAAATTCTGTGCCTGAAGAACCAGGTTGATCTGTCTTTAAATGTTCGTAAATCTCCCTGGCTCTTTCACAAATGAATTCAGTAGAAACTGAATCACCTTTCATCTGTTTTTCCCTAATCCAGATGAGAAGTAACCTCTCAGTTTCTGCAATTAGGGATCTACTTTTAAACACTCTGGTAGATTTGTCTCTCACTTTCACTTCTTTAAATTTGTCTTTCTGTGCAAGAATTGTCGACACAGTTGATGTCGACATGCCATAGTCTTTGTAAAGCGCATTTGTTCTAATGCCTTCTTCATGTTTCTTAATAATTTCCTGCTTGGTTTGGATTGAAATCACTTTTCTTGATCTCTTAGGCCCCATGCTGGATTCAAACAATGTCATCACGTGATCTTTTAAGTTTAAACTAGCTGTAAATAAAGAATATTTTCTTTAAAATAACACTGTACTGCGCTATATATTGTCATTATGTAAAATAAATTTCAAATTGACCAATAATTTGCTTGGAAACACAGAAAAAAAGCATTTAGTTGAAGAGAGTCTCAAGCAAGATGTTACCTCCACTGAAAAGACACAGAGACTGACGCCTGTTTGGTGTGTTGACAGGCTGTTTGGCGTGCATAAAACTAGTTTTCTTACCTTCAATTATGTTCAATAATTGTTAAAATGACTAAAAATTTTAATATAAAACTTTTAAAATTATTGAATAGTACAAACTTCTTGATATTTACTAAAATAGTGAGGAATTTAAGCCCTAGAACTGATTACTGTATTAGCGGACTAATACTACAGCTGGTTGACCGCCAAGTGCAAGCGAAAACATGTTCAGATCGGCTCGTAAGAAACTCGTTAATCGAGGGATTGCTCGTTAACCGAAGTTAAGAATCTTATGGGAGGTAACTCGTTAACCAAAATCTCATTAACCGAGGCGCTCGTTAACCGAGGGACTACTGTACTACTATACTGTACTCACCAGCAGGTGCTGTCATCTTTAGCCTAGAGTAGGCAGACACTGTGACCACTTGCGATGGAGGTGTGGGAGGGGATTAGTGGGTCATGCTACTGACCTGACTTGATGCAATGTCAGGTGGAGGTGAGGTTGGGTATTAGTGGTCGTATATTACTGACCCCTTCTTATGTAATGTAGGGTCACCCATTGTTAAGGAGGAGGATCAGAGTGAAAGCACTTCACAATCACTAAAACAGGGAAAGCCCTTCACAGTCAGGGGGAAAGCACTTACTTTATATTCTTACCATTATTGTACCATCAAATCCATTATATCATATACATGTTGTCACTTAGTTAGAAATTACTACAGGGTATGGTAATAATTATATGTTTGCCGTCACGCCATTATCCTGATTGTGTCTGTCCCCTTGTTTCACCTAACTCAACCCATGTTGTACATTTATTGCTTCCCCCATTTATCAGATTACTGTATATCAGCTCAACTTCAAAAAATAAAAATAAATAAATGAATAAAAGTGATAATCGTGGTAACATTCTTATATGTCTTTACTAACACCATGTTATGTATACTAATCCAGATGATACCTAATGTTATATAATAATTCCTTGAGATAAATGTACAGTATATATCAGGTGCCACTAACAGAGCTCAGGCTCTCAATTGGCTCAGCCATGTCAATATTACTATTAATGTCCACTCTGTATCTATTTTCTGGCTAAGCTGTTTCAATATCAATATCAGCATTAGCATTGCCTGGACTGTAGTTCACCAGATGGCCACGAGGCCTCAACTGACAAATGAAGTGAGTGATGCGTTCTATATTCCAAGTTGGCAGGATGATAAATATCGTTAATGCAGGTTTGTTTACATCGCAAATAGGGGAGTGGTCTTAATAAATCAGCATTGTTAAAAAAAAAATATTTTAGATAGGGTCATCACAGATTGGGGATACCTTTACAGTATACTAGTTTTCCAGCCATTTCACAACCCTTATTGAATCACCTGACCAAAAGCTGAAGTGGTTTGTGCAGTGATCTTGCCTATTTTGCCCACTTATTTGTCATCCATTCATGACTATCTGGGTTCATTTTCATAAAAGACGGTTTAGGTATTCATTGTGAATTGTTGCTGTAATGTTATTATTTAGATGGTATACACTATATGACTTCTTTTTTTATTTTCCTTTGCAAGGAGATGATATCTAAAATGTTCAGTGGTCCCTCGGTTAACGAACTCAATTCGTTCCAGAGGGTCGTTCGTTAACCGAAAATTTAATTTACCGAATCCTTTGTTTCAATGGGATTTTGGGTAATTGGTTCCAGCTCACCGAAAATTACATACAAAGTAAAAACAAAATGCAATAAAGTACACTTACTTTGAGGTGTGTATGTAGAAGGCTCCTGGTTGATGATGATGGGAATTAGAAGTGGGGGTGGAGGAGGAGAAGAGAAGGAAGTGGGGGGTGGAGGAGAAATCACCTTTCAGGGGACCCATGCTTGATGCCCTCATTTCACCAATAAAATTTTAAGTTCACTAGGTGTAATTCAAGATTATTTTCCTTAATTCAACACTGCACTGCACTATATATATTGTCAATATGTTAAATAAATTTCAGAATGACCAATAATTGTACTGTAAAAACGTAAAAATACTCTGTGTTCAAGAGACCCACAAGCAAGATGTTTCCTCCACTGGCCAGATACAAACTGAGATCTTGGTGGGTGAGTGAAGTGGCTGATGGGCTCACCAAAAACTAGTTCCCTGTACTGCAATTATGTTATATAAGTGTTAAAACGAGTAATAATTTTAATATAAAACTTAGAAAAATATTGAATACCACAACCTTCTTGATATTTACTCCAATGGAAACGAATATAAGCCCTAGAACCGATTACTGTATTGGCGGACTAATCTTCCAGCTGGTGAGCAAGCCAAAACATGTTGACATGATTTTGTAAGAATTTCGTTAACTGAATTGAAGATTCTTATGGAAGGTAATTCGTTAACCGAAATTTCGTTAACCGAGGCGTTCATTAACTGAGGGATCACTGTACTGTAAACTTCACCAGAAACAGTAAACCATTTAATATTAAAATAAGCTTACATGATTCATTAAGTAGAAGCACTTCAAGTTTGTTCAAGGGCTGCTATTCCATTAAATCTGACAGCCATGGATCAATCATTATTAAACATATTACACAATGTGATGTTTCGTGGATTCAAGTGTGTAATTGGTATACAGTAATTAGGTTTTCTGCGATGGAAATACTGTGTTCTGTTTATAGTTAAATAATGTTCTTTATTAAGTTCCTTTGGTTAAAAGATTTCTGGCTACTTGGGTCTCTTGTTTTATTTTATTTTTTCTATGTTACTTACTTTGGGAACCTCGAGTCTTTTCAAAGTTCACTCTTTTTACTATGCAAGACTTAAAGCTTTGATTTTTATAAGAATTCTTATTGGATAATGATTTTACATTAGTACAGTAGAACGTTGATTTAAAGCAATTCAATTTAAGATTATTGATTTAAAGCGACACCCACAATTAAGGACAATGTTTTAATTTAAAGCGAATCTTTCCTATTTTGCGCGAGTCAATCTGGCGCATCATATTTTAAAATTCGTGCCGAATGTTTTTCTGAACACGCTACACTGTCCTAAGGGCAAAGCTTTACTGAACATGTACTCAAAATAATGTACTAAATGATTACTAAAATTTTTGTCGAGTGCAAACTATAGCATGATTACTGTATATTCAAATTACAGCTCCTCCCCGACTTACGACGGGGTAAGGGACCCAAATCCAGGTCGTAAGTCGAAATGGTCATAGGTCAAAAATGCTTAAATAATACCATGTACATAGAAAATCTAAAATGGGTGTCTCTTTTTCTTCTCAGCACCACAAAACTCTCACTTTAAAGCTTGCCAGCCATTTCAAAGTGAATTACAAACGAAAACTTTCTCTGTGTACTGACGTTGGGACTCGAAAATATGTAATTTGACAAAATTTTGGTATGACTGAGGCGGTCGTATGTCCGGGTGATCGTAAGTCAAGTAGGTCGTAAGTCGGGGAGGAGCTGTAATCACTATCTTATAAGAATTCCAGCAATGTAAATTATATTCTCCCTAGTCACTTCTGTGACATTTTATAAACAAAAAACAAAAACTCAATCTAAAGGACATAAATAAACAAATAAATACTTCACTTGACCTTCGGCCCCAACTGTCAAACGTGTTACTGTCACCATCACCCCCCCCCCCTCCCATCTTCCCAGCCAGGGTTGGGTGGATATAGGCTTACAGTTTTTATCTTATATAATATCAAAGACTAAAGTTAAGAGAATATAATTTGCATTGCTAGAATCCTTGCAAGACAGCGAATAATTTGAATATAAACGTCATATATTTTGCACAAGAGATAAAAGTTTTAGCCCTTTGTAATAAAATTAATTGGAACGTGTCAGTTCAGTGACATTTTATAATAAGAGCCCATTAACTCCTCAAGAATCAATGGTTAAAGGGCCAGTTCAGGGGAATTAAGAAGGAATAGAAATTTACCATGCCAGCTAAATTGACACTATCTCTGTTATATAGACAGTTTAAATTACCTTGATCACATTAGCACTTGGCTCATTCATAAGCAGATTGGCACAATCTTGTTTAAATATTTAAGTTATACAATAACACATTTGCAGTTGTACTTATCTCATATACTGCTTATTATACTCTGCCACCTTTTGACCTTTTAATACCAGACAATATTTTAACTGCAATCCCCACTGCTCATGGAATTAATATACAGAATACTGAATTACAGCATGAGGATGTGGGTGTTGATGGGAAAGTGAAGGTTACTCTGACAGCTGAAGAAATGGATGCTATCCTTCAGCAGACAACAGGATCACAGATAAGTATGGAAGAAGGATGTCAGAAAGAGGAAGCAGGAGATGAATCATCCACTTCCAAACGAAATCATTCATCCCAGGATGATGGTAGCCTCCAAGTTGCTTTTGTAAAGTGTGGTGAAAATGAAGATGTAAGTAGACGTTACTTTTATTATGGGAAAGCAAGCTAATGCTGTACGATGACTTTTCACTCATTTTGTTTTATCCTCAACTTTAGTCTCACTTGCATAGAAGTGGCTTAGATGTATAAAACCACATACAAACTCAATAATGTAAGGGTACAGAAATAAATGGGTAGAAATTCTTCACAGCTATTCATATTGCACTCATTCATGTTTAATGCTGCATATCATTTCACCTTGCCTGTGCCAAACATAAAATGTCTCTAATGTACAGAATTTTCATTGTCTTCATTTTAAGCATCCTCATAGTTAGTTTTGTGTCTTTACAACTTAACCACTGACCAGGTATTTTTTATGATCTCTTCTCTATGTTTACTTCTGCCACCTTCCTCCTCCTTGAAACTCTTCCTAAATGGAATTACCACGATAGAAAAGCCTCCAGTCCCCCTTTCTTAATACAGGTCCACCACCGATTTTCCGGCACCCTTGGTTCCAAAGCCTTGCCGGATTATGTTTTGCCAGACCAACCGAGGTCAGGTAAAAATAATTCAACAATACACCTCTGACCCACTAATTATACACCTCCTGTGTCTCTAAAGTACCATGGACTGCTGGAAACTTAAATTAAACTGTGTGATGTTTATACTCAAATTAATCACTATCTAACAAGAATTCCAGCAATGCAATATATATTCTGCTAAGTCTAGTCAGCTACATTTTATAAGATAAAAACTTTAATCCTAAAACTACCTTCACCCAGGCTGGGAGGGAGGGAGGGAAGTTAAGTGCCCTCTCATAATTCTTCCGTACTAAAGGAGGTGCTGGACCATCAGTTCCCGGAAAATCGGTGGTGTACCTGTATACTCCACTACTATCTTTCCCAGGATGCTGATTATCTTTCTGCAACCAAAGTCCCTTTTACCTTTCCTTTGTACATTTTAAACTTTACCATCTGTTGGTCAGTCCACATGCTTGAAGTAAATAACAGACCATTTTCTTAACCTATATCTTGGTCTCACATCCTACACCCTCACATGAAACCCTCCAATAATTTATTTCAGTACCTGAGTTCTACAGTAGACCTGTTTCTTTCATTCTGTGTTATGTCTCATTCTGGTAAGTGAGGATCAGAAGGACTATTGTCTTGCATTTCTTTGTTTAAATTGTAGTTATATTTTTATATACAGCTCCTTCCCGACTTACGACAGGGTTAGGGACCCAAAGCCAGGTCGTAAGTCGAAAATGCTTAAATAATGCATAAAAAATCGAAAATGGGTGTCTCTTTTTCTTCTCAGCACCACAAAACTCTCACTTTTAAGCTTGCCAGCCATTTCAAAGTGAATTACAAACGAAAATTTTGTCTGTGTACTGACGTTGGGACTCGAAAATACGTAATTTGACAAAATTTTGGTACAACTGAGGCAGGTCGTAAGTGCGGGTGGTCGTAAGTCGAGTAGGTCGTAAGTCGGGGAGGAGCTGTACCTGTACTGTATTGTAGCTGCTTTGTCATAATCCTCTTCTAATATCTAGTTACCCTTACCCCCCTCTAATTGTTCCTTCTTTTGTGCTGTGTGTGCAAAATTCTAATAACAGGTATTGGTGTCTCTCTACTGTCTTAAACATTTACCCATTCTTCCTTATTGTGCTATCATTTGAACTTATCCAATCATTACTTATGTTGTAGCAAAGTGTTATGACAAGGTGAAGTGATGTACAGAGGATGTGGGGTGGGAGGGGAGCAGCAGGGACGGAAGTGGGGGCAGGTGCTGTACTCATGGTTTCCTTGAATGGTGAAATAAGAAAACATTATATATAAACTGAAGCTTCAATTGAATGTTACAGTTCATCATTCATGGATACTGTGAGTGCAGTACCTGCCCCCACTTCATTCTCTGCTGCCCCCCTCCCACCCCACATTCTCCTGACATCGCTTCACCTCGCCATACCACTGTCCACTAGGCAAAAGATACGACCTAATAACAGTCTAATCACTGCATTTCTTATTAAACACATAAACATTCCACAAATCATTACATTGAGATATTTTTTTTTGATATTGTTTTACTTTGATTCTATAGTATATTTACTATTGCAAGTTTCCTTCTGATGAATGTAAACAAACGACCCTGCCAGTCCTACCCCTGTAAATGCACTTGTTAAGGGGACTGTACAGTTCTGTACAGTGGATAGAGGAATGGATAGTGTTTGCTAGTGTGTAGGGGGTGTATGTACAGAATACAATGCATGTACAATTCCTCCTTCATGGAGGGAGAACAGAATACTGTAACAGGTAGCAACACCTGCTACAGGAGATGGTACAGGACAAAGGCAGGCCGTCCTGTATCATCATCTCACCATTTGGCCTGCTTGCATCACAAGCTCAAGATGACAGCATCTGCTTGTGAGCACAGTATAGTGTATATAGTAGTATATTTGTTTATTTACTATATATTGTACATGTGCATTGGTGCTTGCATAAATAAATACAGTAGAATGTCGATTTAAAGCGATTCAATTTCAAATTATTGATTTAAAGCAACTCCCACAATTAAGGACAATGTACTTATTTAAAGCGAATCTTTCCTATTTTACGCTAGTCAAGTTGGCGCATCATATGGAAATACACACTAATTTATACTTTGTGCCTAATGTTCACTGTCAGACGCATCTCTGGGCACGCTACATAGCTGCCCGCCACCCTCCCACATCCTCAGTTCTCGCACTGACGCTCTAATGAACGGATATATTGTGTGACACTATCTCCTCCTACCTCGTGTTTCAACCATCACCACTATGTCCAAGAGGCCAGCCACTACATCATTAACTACCCCAAAGACCATGAAATCAAGGCAAGCAATTACATTGGAGCAGAAAATCAAGGTGCTGGAAGCACTGCAGCGAGGAAATGGTGCTTCAATTGTAGGGTGCCAATTTGGACAGTAATGTGGGGCTGGTCGAGTTGGGCTCTGCATCTTCAGAGGATGAATTGCTTAAGTTAAGTTGAGTGAAAATCAATTTTTGATAGCATAAATTAATTAAAAACTAAGTTGAGAGGAAAATGAAAGTGCTTGGTGAGTCAGACAAGAGGTGGGTGGTGTGCGGCGCCAGCGCGACCACCCTCTCACATCAGGTGATCGGTAGTAAACAGACCATTTCGCGTCTTAATTTAGCTGTGTTGATTTATGAGTGTTTGTTTTAGCATAATACTACCAAAAACAATGTTTTGTTTATTCTAGGAGATGGGCTGAGGTGCATCTGGGTAGACTCTCAGTCTTTTTAGTATTTTGTGTTTCTCTCAAGTACCAAACTAAATTATTCCATTGAAACAACACTTTGATTTAGTGCAAATTCGGTTTAAAGCGACCTCTCTTGGAACGTTTCTCATGTTATATCGACGTTCTACTGAACAGCTCCATACCCAGAAATCTCTCAATCCTGTAACCACTCCGCACCAATTATTCTGGCTAACAGGGATATCACTACAGTATTTTTTTTTATCTCCTACTGTAATGTACTTCCTCTTTTTTATGATTTTTTTTATTCCAGAATGACTCACAGAAACATGCTCATCAATGCAAGACTTGTGGTAAAAGCTTCAAGAAACCATCTGACTTGGTACGTCATATTAGAACTCATACTGGAGAGCGACCATTCTCATGTGCCCAGTGTGGAAAATCTTTTGCTGTCAAATCAACATTGGATGTGCACATGAAAACTCATACTGGGAAAAAGGATTATATGTGTCATATTTGCAATACCATGTTTGCTACTAAAGGAAGCCTAAGCATACACATGAGGCTTCATACTGGAGTTAAACCATTTAAATGTAATCAGTGTGGGATGAAATTCAGAACCTCTGGTCATCGCAAGGCTCATGTTGTTAAACATTTTAAAACAACCCAGTCCATGTATGGTAAGAGTGCAATAAGATTTGCCGCAGTTGAAGAAGATCCATTAGATACTGGAAATGAGGCAGATGAAACTGTAATGGAAATGACAAATGAGGAAAATCTTAGTTCTGTGGTAATGATGACAGAAGGTACTGTGTCATTGCAGTTACAAGGGCTTAACCTTGGCACTATTGATCCTTCAGCTTTACTTAATATTCAACCTATGACATTGGATGAAAGTGTTCTAAATCAGTTACAAGCTTCTGGTGTTACCATGATGGGTGCTGGTGAGGGAACTGTAGATGAGGATGCTGAGGACTCTATCTCTGTGAATCCTAATGTTGTGATGACACAACCTCGAAGTGTTCGTACTCCAACTGTAGAACCTGTTGATGATTCAGATTTTGAAATTCATATGATTGATAGTGAAGGTAGAGTCATAACAACTCACTCACTAAATATGTTGGGGCAACAATTGGATAGGGACACTGGAACAGCTCCAGACACAGCTTCCTTTATGCCACCAGAACTTAGTCTCTCGGATCTTGCCCTCCCAGGACCAAATAATAGCATTCAGTGTGCTTTGTGCTCAAAATCATTTGTAAAATTATCTGACTGGCAGGAGCACCTTTTGTCTCATAATATTTTTATAAGGGTAGGAGAGGATGGTGAAATTGCAGAAAGTGAAATGCAAGACTCTATTGTTATTCCCACAACTACTCTTGGAGAAATTCATGATAATACAGGTAGTACCTTTCAGAGTGCACATAATGGGAAAACCCCTTCTGGACTAAATATTGGAGAAATAACGGTTTCTAAATTAGAAGGACAAACCCAATTAAATCGTAATTATAAATGTGCTGTACCTGGATGTGGAAAAACATATAGGCATGAGACCAGTCTTCAGCAACATACAGTTAGTGCTCATATGAAACAGCACGTCTGTCCCAAGTGCGATGAAGCTTGTCCTTCAGCAGCTGCTCTTCAGAAACACATCAGAATGCATCATTCAGATGCAAAGGGTATCAGATGTGTATTTTGTGTAGAGGAGTTTAATGTGCGGCCTGCATTACACCAACACATTATTCAAGAACATTTGCAAATTGCCCTTGAGAATCCAATTGTTATCGAGAAGGTGGGACTCAAAATTAACCTGACTTCAGAATCTCAGAGAGAGGGGACACAGGGTGGTATGGATGATTTGGATCCCTTAGAGTTCTTCCCTTCAGTAAATAATTCATCCCATCTTGTATAAAGATGAAGGTACTTGAAGATCTTCAGGGTTTTGCTGTAATTGACTCACAAACAACTATGCTACATTAATGCCTTGTTTAAGGTCTGGTTGATCAAAATAGATATTTATTAATGCACTTGTATTTTGTATGGAAAAAATATTATGTAAGTGATGCTGCAAGCTTTAATTTATGTGTGAATTGAAAACATTGTGCAAAACTGCATGCTGAGAAAATTTCAGTGTCAGCTTATTGGCACAATATTATGTTACAAACAAAACACTGTGTAGCTTATGTTGTTGTTGTATTTTAAAGTCTTCCTCAATAGTTTTTAATCAGGAATTAAGCTTCTTGTTAAATATGAATTACCCGGTAAGTACAAACATGAAATAGTAAATACTAACTAATGACATGTAATGAAACCAAAGTAGGTAGTAAGTAAGTTTCTGCAATTTTTATGACTTGGATATTAATGGACATTTTGCAGGGGCTGGCTAGATGATATCCATTACTGCCTTTGAAATTTTAAAGATCCATAATGCCAGGAGTATGATATTTTCTTTTTAGTGTAAGGATATATAGTGAATTTATATTTATATCAATTAGACCCATTGTACAGCTGAGCATAATAACCAACTGTGAATTACCATTTTGTAGTACGGTACTCTGTTTCATCAGTTTAATTTTGGGGATAAGTATTAAAGATGTTTCTTTTTCACCATTGTCCAGACACCTTAGTTTTTGTTCAGTTAGCATTCATTAGTTGCTATGTCTTAAAAGTAAGCTAGATATAACATCTCACTCAAGACTCACCTCAGCTAACATATATGATGTGTGATGAGTCTGGTATGTCAGAAGATTAGTCACCTATTAATGTACAGTATTTACACTGAATGTTAGTGGCCATGTGTAAAATACCACCATCACCTGATACACATGAAGTACAACCATTTGTTGACATGCCTTAAGTACAACTCTCAGTGTGTATGCCAAAAAACATATTTAGCTTACTTGCCTTAAGTACAATTGACATGCCTCAACTTTCTTTGTTATCATACTGTTGATCAAAAATAGGAAGAAATATATGTTATTATTTTAGATGCCCAAGTTATACTACTGTATATGTATATGTATATGTATGCTCAAATTTTATTTATTTTTTTATTAATTAGAATCATGTTTAGTCTCTTAAGAAGCCTCAAATGATTTACCTAGTGTTTTTATGTGTGTCTAGTCAAGTGTCATTTCTTTCTAAGCTTGGTTAAAACTTGTATATTTCTTCTCTAAGGAATTTTTTTAACCTGACACTAGTCTCAAGCAACTCTGCATATCAATAATAATGGGGTCAATCCCCAGGTCTCAGAGCCCAATCTTGTAACTGGAACCTCAAAATTTAATTAGTTAAGAATTGGACTACCCTGCACATTTATGCTGGATTTCAATGAGATTCATCATGTGAGTGTACCCAGAAGGGAGAAGACTAAGAGATTATACAGGGAGGTATTCCCTAAAAATAAAGATAAAAGAGAAAAGTCCCCAAATTTCCTCCACAACTCAGGTACAGTATGTACTCTTAACTGCCAGGGTATGGGGGGGGGGCCTCCCTGTGTTGAATAAAATTTATAAAATTGTCTGATGTTATCCAAATAAAATATTAAACGTGGCATCACATAGTGAAGAGGTTAAACCCTAGCCTGAAATCATTGGAAGCCAAAGTTTTCACAACAGGATAAATTTTAACTTACAGTATTTGCCGGCGTATAAGACGCATTTTTATTTTATTTTTTCAATGTATCCCAAATTACCCTGCATCTAATGAGCCCGTATTACGGATGGGAGGCCGAGCGCCATAGGCAGAGGTGCCTAGCTAGGGAGTCTGGGACGAGCAGTAGTCCACTAAGCACAAAAATTGTGTTTACTAATAATAAAATACTGAAAAACAAGCCAAATTATCACAATCTATTATCTGAAACTTGCGGAAAATTTGCTGAAGACGTAAATAATGGCTTAACGGCAGAGGGAAGCTCGCAACATCTCGCTGTACCTCCTTCCCCAGCATACGTAACCCACACCAGTTACATGTCTTACATTATTTAGCAACTGTGTTACCTTTAAGAAACATTTGTTTATTATCTAAATGAAAAATGCCCCTAGAAAGATTAAAGAAATGCTAACAGAAATTTCAGCCGCCAGTCAGCCACTTGCAATGTGTCGATGACGCCAAAACAATAACGATGGTGCTGCACCCTGGTGGTCAATCATGGCAACAAAAAACATCACAGCTAAAAATACGAGTTTCACATCCTGTTGGTAATTCTTTTGACCAAAATATAAACAAGCCACACAGCTGCTCTGTTCAGAGGTAGAGTTGGGTTAGTATAATGTTACTATACTAATGAGATGCATTCCCAAGTGTGACCTTTTCATATCTTTTGTGTGGCTTTTTACCCTCTTTTCCCCCCAAAACAATACAATTAATGAAACTTGAAAACTATATTCTTTAAATAATGTTTCTGAATGCACCTTATACAATATAAATGAATAATAATATTGTCACACAAGAGGAGATAGAACGCCATTGTTTTCATTTGTGTTTACAGCCGGGAGTCCGGGACGATGGTTCTACACGAGAAAGTTAAGAAAATAAGACCCTGGTTGTAGCTGTAGTAAATTTAATGTTAATAAATGGATCACTAGAAGTAGCTAACCACTAATGGTAAAGAAATAAAGCGAGACGATTGGGAACGCCAACGTATGTAAAGTAAGTGCGTACAAGTGAAAACATATCGTCATCTCTACATATGAATATGAAAGCAACACTTATTTCCTGTTCTTATATGATTTAAATAATATTTACAAATGTAAAACAAAAATTCTACTCACCAATGGTGGTAAAGTCTAAAGCATAAGGACAGCCAATGAATATTGTGCGAGTTTTTACTCAGATGACGAAGTCATCAGGTTCAACTGGCTGAAGCTGTAGGTAAATATTAATTATTCTACCACATTATTTTGTATCAGATACTCAATCACCATACAGTTCATACTTCACTTTAACAACTAATTGGTACCACGAAAATGGTCTGTAAAGTGAAAATCATTAATGTGGTGAGTATAGTTTACATGCTACATTGGTCAATTGGTACTAGCCCACAAAAAATTACAACTACTTATTCACACATTAATACTGCATGTAGAGTTAATAACTAATAATGACTAACCCTTAGACACTCACTGAACTGCTTAATGACACTGGTGCCTGCACTTCGGTACCTCAGCTTCCCTGAGAGATTGGAGCGCCTGAACTTGCCTAGCTTATACTACAGATGGGCAAGGGGTGACCTAATTGAGGTGTATAAGCACCTCAAGGGGCACTACTCAGTCGAGTGTCCTTACTTGGAGCTGGAGGATGCTCTCCCCACAAGGGGTCACAGCTCAAGATTGAAGAAGCCTTAAGTCCAGAAAACTGTGAGGGCAAACTTTTTCGGAGTGAGAGTTGTGAACTCTTGGAACAATCTGCCAGAAAGTGTTGTGATGGCACCGGGTGTGAGTTCTTTCAAGACCAGACTTGACCAAAACTAGAGCAGGTTCAGGTACATTCAGGAGCCGGTGCATGCCCAGTACCTGCCAACAGTGTGGGCCGATCAGTGGTGAAGAGGATAAAAGTAAAAGTAAAGAGTTGCTTGATCCTGGCTTTGTTATTCTATGAGACTTAAGGATAAATTCCCCATTTAAGTTGTCATAGGATTTTATATGTTTGCGTGTGAGTATTATGTCTCCATTTCCAGTAAAATCAATGTACTGTACCGAAAGTTTAAATAAATTTGTGGTTCATTTAAGATTTTATCTCATAAGGGAGATTTAAGCAACACAGCCTGAGGGATTAATATGTAAATACCTTTAGCTACTATAAATTCAACCGATACAGTGACCCCTCGTTTAACGAACGCCTCGGTTAACGAAATTTCGGTTAACGAACTGCCTTCCATAAGGATCTTCAATTCGGTTAACGAACAAAAACTCGGTTAACGAATTTCTTACGAACCGACCTCAACATGTTTTCGCTTGCACTGACCGGGCAACCAGCTTTAGTATCAGTCCGCCAATACATTAATCGGTTCTAGGGCTTAAATTCCTTACTATTTTAGTAAATATCAAAAGTTTATACTATTCAATAATTTTAAAAGTTTAATATTCAATTTTTTAGTCATTTTAACAATTATTGAACATAATTGAAGGTAAAGTGACTAGTTTAATGCGCGGCATCCAGCCTCTTAACACAGCAAACAGGCGTTAGACTCTCTCTGTTTTCACTGGAGGTAACTTCTTGCTTGAGACTCTCTTCAACTAAATGCTTTTTTTCTGTGTTTCCAAGCAAATTATTGGTCATTTTGAAATATATTTTACATATTGACAATATATAATGCAGTGCAGTGTTGATTTAAAGAAGATAATCTTGAATTACACCAAGAGAACTAAAATTTTATGGGTGAAATGGCGCCATGGGGTGACTTCTCTTCTTCCTTCTCCTCCACCCCCATTCTAAATCCCATCATCATCATCATCATCATCATCATCATCATCATCCAGGAGCCTTCTACATACACACCTCAAAGTAAGTGAACTTTTCTACCATTTTTGTTGAATTTAGGAAATTTTCGGTGAGCTGGAACCAATTACCCAAAAACCCATTGAAACAATGGTTTCAGTTAACAAACTTTTCGGTTAACGAACGACCTTCTGGAACAGATTGAGTTCGTTAACCGAGGGGTCACTGTATACAGTATCGAAAATCAAAGAAAGGCTTTCACATTCATACTGTGTTTATATCTAAGCAAATACAAAAATTCTTGTTTATACTGTACAGTGATGTTTCCAATAACCGGAACAATTGGTGCAGGTCACTTCCAGGAATGAGGGAGTTGTGGGTAATGAGACGACTCTCAAAGCCAGAAAAAAATCCTCATCCTCGGAATTTTCCGGGTAACAGAAAAATGTTCTCGAAAGTTCTAGAATGATGTACTATTACTATTTCGTCTAAAAGCCGAAAAAAAATCCCTCATCCGTACTCGGAAAATTTATCTTGAAATTTCCGGAAAATGCCCCAGATTTTCCTCTCTCAAACCCAGAATAAAAATCCCCCATCCCTGGAATTTTCTTAAAATTTTCTTAGAATTTTCCAGAAAATGTGCCCCTTGGAAAATCGTTCCCAAAGCCGGAATTTTCTGGAAAATACTGGCTTTGGGAATGATTTTCTGTTAAATTCCAGCTATCAGAGACTTCTGGGTTTGAGAGCGTTGAATAGAATGACCTTCACGGTTGTTGTTGTTGCTGAGATTGTCGGACCTGAGTCCGACACGGGCCTTTGCCAGTAGGCGGCCCGTTTGGTGGCTCCAGCTGGAGCTCATGGAGCAGCCAAACCGGATTGGGGATGGAGGTTGTCCTACCTGCAGATATGAAAGGATACTGCAGGTTTGCAAGTATAAGCGGACCTTCGGTCAGTGAACGCTTACCACCAACCCCCCACTCTTGGACGTGGTCAGTTTCGGAGTGGGCGCCCCCCAAACTGGGGTCCGCACTTGCTGGGGGAGGATACTTCCTAAGCTATCTGGGTGGTGGGTATCATGTGATGACCCGGAGAAGGTGGTGAATGTGGTTTGTTTGGGCCTTTCAGGTTAGAGTGGCCGCTAGTGTTGTGTGTTCTTCTTGGAAGTTTCAAATTCTGTTTCGGAGACTTTGTGCGACTTCGAAATCGAGGAGATAGTGTTCCAGTTGGTTGGCCGCTGGCTCCTAACAGTAGGTGCATTCCCTGACGACATTTCCAATCGTCTGCCATGTGCACTTGTACCCTAGTTGCAGTCGATGAAGGCTAACTTGGGTTTGTCTTGGTGTTTTCTTGTCCGTGAATGGTGGTTCCCTTTTTGTAGCCACCAGGTACCATTTGGCTGATTGAGAACCAGCGTTGAATGCGTCAAGGAAGTTCTTTTTGATGTGGAGTATGGTAGTCTTTCTGAGGTGGTTCTTGATCTCTTGCACGCTTGCAGGAACTTGAATGTGTACGCTTCTAGAACTTGTGACTGCCATGGCTGCTTCGTCTGCCTTGTCATTTCCCCCGATCCCTACATGACTGGGAATCCAGTGTAAGACGACTGGGTGGTTTTGTCTTTGGAAGTCCTGTGGCTGTGCGAGGATCGAGGTTATGATGTGGACGTTGTCTCTTGGTTGACTGTGTTGCAGCGCCTGCATGGCCGTTTTCGAGTCCGTGTGAATTATGATGGACTT